TCCATCATTGTTTGAGTCCACAGTGCTCTCTGGATCTAGGTGAACTACAACTCCTAAACTCAAGGTCAGTACCCACCAAACCCTTCCAGTATTTTCTGTTGGTCGTGGGACTTCTGTGTGCCAAGTTTGGTTAAATTCCATCGTTGGTGGAGTTCGGAATGCTCTTTGATTTTAGGTAAACTATAAATCCCAGCAACTACAACTCCCAATTGACAAAATCAACCCCTCGCCCAACCCCACTAGTATTCAAATTTGGGTGTATTGGGTATTTGTGCCAAATTTGGTCCAGTGAATGCATATTGGATATTTACATTACAATTCGTAATAGTAGCAAATTTTCAGTTATGAAGCAACAACGAAAACAATATTATGGTTGGGGGTCACCACAACATGAGGATCTGTATTAAGGGGTCGCGGCATTAGGAAGGTTGAGAAACACTGCTCTAGTCCAACCCAGGGAGACACAATGAAAGCACTCCCAGCAGATGGCCATCCAACCCCTGTTTAAATGCCTCCAGAGAAGGAGACTCCTCCAATCTTCCATGGGATGGACTGCAAATCTTGTCAGCCTCCCAAAAGGTAATGCAAGGGCCAGCTCTAAGGAAAGAGTGGCCCTGGGTGAGTGGGCTCACCGGCTTCGGCGTAGGCCATGCGGAGGACCCGTCCCAAGGTGTTGAAGGAGCCCAAGGGCTCGCAGCGCTCCCGCTGCCCGGCGGCGAAGGCCTCCACCCGGCAGGCGCCCGGCAAGGAGGCCACCAGCAGCGCCTCCCGCCCGCAGCAGCAGAAGAGCGCCGGCTCCTGCTTCGTGGGCACCACTTGCTGAGACCCGAACGGGTGCAAGTTGTACAGCTGCACCATGGCGCCTCCCTCCCTCGCCTTGGCTTCTATGGCCTTGAGCCCACGGGCTTCGCTTCCGCGTCGGGCCACGCCCCCAGGGAAAGAAGACTCCGCCCACAAAAGAGGGAGTCCATTGAATTGGGTTCTATAGCATTGAGCCCCAGCCCACAGGCCCCGCCCCCGCAAAGCGCTTCCGCATCAAGCCACGCCCCCAAGGAGGGGAATTCCATTGCACTGGGTGCTATGGCATTGAGCCCCAGCCCATAGACCCCGCCCCAGAGCTGCGCTTTGGCACTAAGCCGCGCCCTCAAGGAAAGAAGAGACCGCCCACAAAAGAGGGATTCTACTGCGTTGGGTTCTATATGGCATTCAGAAGAAGATCTACAAGCCACTCTAAACACCTTTGCAGAAGCATAGGAGAAGCTCGGCTTGTCATTGAACATTGAAAAAACCAAGGTGCTTTTCCAGCAGGCACCAGCCATCCCCTCTCCAATGCCAGTGATACAGCTTAATGGTGTAACATTAGAAAATGTTGATCATTTCCGCTCCCTTGGCAGCCACCTCTCCACCAAAGTCAACATCCACGCCGAAATACAACACCGCCTGAGCTCTGCAAGCGCAGCATTTTTCCGATTGAAGCATTGAAGCAGAGAGTGTTTGAGGACCGGGACATCCGTAGCGATATCAAGGTGCTTGTTTATAAAGCTATTGTCCTCCCAACCCTGCTCTATGCCTGTGAGACGTGGACTGTCTACAGACGTCACATGCAGCTCCTGGAACTTTTCCATCAGCGCTGCCTCCGGAAAATCCTGCAAATCTCCTGGGAAGACAAGCGGACAAACGTCAGTGTGCTGGAAGAAGCAAAGACCACCAGCATTGAAGCGATGGTCCTCCGCCACCAACTCCGCTGGACCGGCCATGTTGTCTGGATGCCCGACCACCGTCTCCCAAAGCAGTTGCTCTACTCCGAACTCAAGAACGGAAAACGGAATGTTGGTGGACAGGAAAAGAGATTTAAAGATGGGCTCAAAGCCAACCTTAAAAACTCTGGCATAGACACTGAGAACTGGGAAGCCCTGGCCCTTGAGCACTCCAGTTGGAGGTCAGCTGTGACCAGCAGTGCTGCAGAATTTGAAGAGGCAGGAGCCAACCCCGGCCGAGACCGCCTTCCACCTGGAAACCAATGCCCTCACTGCGGAAGAAGATGCAGAGCAAGAATAGGGCTCCACAGCCACATACGGACCCACAAGAATATTGGAAGACAATCATCCTCGGAAAGCGAGGGATCGCCTAACTAACTAAATATGGCATTGAGCCCCAGCCCATAGACCCCGCCCCCGGGCTGCGCTTTGGCACTAAGCCACGCCCTCAAGGAAAGAAGAGACCGCCCACAAAAGAGGATTTCTATTGCGTTAGGTTCTATATGGCATTGAGCCCCAGCCCATAGGCCACGCCCCGGCTTAGTTTTCTCACAAAGCCACGCCCCCAGGGAAAGAAGAGACACTAAAGAGGGATTCTATTGCACTGAGTTCTATAGGATTGAGCCCCAGCCCACAGGCCCCGCCCCCGAACAGTGCTTCCGCGTCAGGCCACGCCCCCAAGTAAAGAAGAGACCGCCCACAAAACAGGATTCTATTGTATTGGGTTCTATGGCATTGAACCCCAGCCCATAGACCCCGCCCCTCGGATTTTGCTTCTGTGTTAGGCCACGCCCCCAGGGAAAGAAGAGCCCGCCCACAAAAGGGTTCTTTGTAATTGAGATCCCGCCCACAGGCCGCGCCCCCAGGATTCACTTTGGCATCAAGCCACTCCCCCAGAGAAAGAAAAGACCGCCCACAAAAAGGGATTTGATTACATATTAGCCCATAGACCCCGCCCCCGGGCTGCGCTTTGGCACTAAGCCACGCCCTCAAGGAAAGAAGAGACCGCCCACAAAAGAGGGATTGAGCCCCAGCCCACAGCCCCCGCCCCGGAATTTGCTTCCGTCTTAGGCCACGCCCCCAGGGAAAGAAGAGACCGCCCACAAAAGGAGATTCCATGGCATTAGGTCCCAGCCCACAGACCCCACCCCCCGAACGTTTCTTCCGGATCAGGCCACGCCCCCAGAAAAGGAAGAGACCGCCCATAAAACCACTTGAACTGCCATGGGTCAAGACTATGCAATCCTGGAAGCTGTAGTTTTACTAAGTATTTAGCTTTCTGTGCCAAGGAGTGCTGGTGGCTCACTGAACTACAACTCCCATGGTTCCATAGCACTAAAGTGGTGTCAAACTGCATTAGTTCTACAATGGTGGTACACCTTTTTCTTTGGAGCCACATCATTCATTTATGTTTTGGTAATAATTCTTTGAGAACACAGAAATGCTGGAGCACTCTAACAACTATCGTGTCAGACTACACAGAGAAGCCATTGAAATCCACCAGCATGTGGACAATTTCAACAGAAAGGAAGAAAGCATGGAAATGAACAAAATCTGGCAACCAGTATTTTAAAAAACTTCCAAAATCACAACAGTAAATGAAGAACAACTCTCAAAACAGGGGAACTCCAAACAAGAAACAATCAGGGCCAGCTAATCACCTTCCAACAAAGGATTCCCCCGGGCAGTAAGAAGCCAGACCTTGAAACTGCAAGGTCATTAAATGCTAATGTAGGTGGCTAATTGAAACATTCACACCTACCTCAAACAGACAAGAGTTCTTTCTCCCATCCTGGACCTTCCACAGATATATAAACCCCCTTTTCCTAGTTTCCAACAGACGTCACAGCCTCTGAGGGCCCTTCCACATAGCCTTATATCCCAGAATATTAAGGCAGAAAATCCCAGATCTGAGTGTGGGCTCAGATAACCCAGTTCAAAGCAGATATTGTGGGATTTTCTGCCTTGATATTCCAGGATATAGGGCTGTGTGGAAGGGCGCTCAGGATGCCTGTCATAGATGCAGGCAAAACCTCAGGAGAGAATGCTTCTGGAACATGGTCATACAGCTCGGAAAACCAACAACAATCCTGTTTGCTGCTTTGAGTCTCTGTTAAAGAAAAAGCAGCATATAAATACATATAATATATAATTCTGTTTTAATATTCGTTTTATAGATTTATAATTGTACAGTTTTTAAACAACAACTTGCCATCTACACATGGTGTGTAGAATAAAAGTTATAAACATCAAAAACAAAAGTATCTTAGGCCCTTTCCATACAGCTGTATAAAATCCACATTGAACTGGATTACATGGCAATGTGGATTTAGGGTCATGTAATCCAGGATATCAAGGTAGAAAATCCCGCAATATCTGCTTTGAACTGGGTTATCTGATTTCACACTGCCATATATTCCAGTTCAAAGCAGATAATGTGGGATTTTATTCAGCTGTGTGGAAGGGGGCCCTGACAGGCCCAGGATCTGATCCCAGGTTTTCAGTTTATTCCAGATTATCTGGCAGTGTGGACTCATATAATCCAGTTTAAAGCAGAAAAACCGGGATCACTTGCTGGAATATAGGACCTTTCCGGAAGGGCTCTCAGGCCTCTTCCTCACAGCTGTATAAAATCATACATTATTTATTTATCGTGTCATCAGCAACCAGACATTTGTATTACATTAACAAAAACAAACAAACAGGCAAAACACAGAATTTGCAAGCTTGGTAATTGATTATACATTATCTGCTTTGAACTGGGTTATATAGCAGTGTGGACTCATACAACTGAGTTCAAAGCAGATCTTGTGGACGATCTGCTTTGATAGTGGATTATATGGCTGTGTGGAAGGGCCCTTAATGGACACATATAGATTTTGGAGTTATTTGAAATTCCAGATAGAGGCCCTCTCATTGGAAAACAACCCCGAAGCCCCGCCCTCTTCATGTCTCCTTTGGGCACGCATGACGTCATCGCCCCGTCTTGCCAGCCTCTCCTGACGGCACCCTGAACTGCCATGAAAACAGTTTTACAAACTGACGTGGGAAATAACCAATGAGCAAAGAGGAGGCGTAGACGTTGGTCTCAATGTGGGCCGTCCCTCCCCCAACATTTTATTCGTTTGAGTCTCAACGGAGACGCTTCTCCATTGGTGGGTCCGGCTGTCTATCCGTGACCTCGGCCAATGAGAAACGACGCTTGGCAGCGAGGCGCGTACACAGTGACGTTCACGTAGCGGGGATTTTCGCGCCGCGCCGGCGTCTTAGACTTTTCGGAGGAGAGCACCATGGCTCGAGGGTTTCTGAGGTGGGCTGAAGCGGCGCTATTTGGGCCTTTTCGTCGTGGTTTTGGGTACTTGGCGTTGGCTTCTCTTTCGGGTTAACTCCTGTGAAGAATGTGAGGCAAAACTGGAATTAAATCGGTTGAAACTGAGGAGCAGGTGCAGAGTGGGAGGGAGGGGTGCTTCGCCTTTGATGGAAGGAGAAGCCTTTTTCAGGTCTTGTGAAGAGACCCCTAGAGGTCATCCAGTCCATCCCCATTCTCCCATGCTGGACTACACCATCAAAGCATTCCAGACAGATGGCCATTCAACTTATGTTTAAAAAACCCCCAGATATCTCCTGTACAAGAGAGGCCAAGGCTGAGGAGTATCGTAGGTTGTAAAACTACAACTCCCAGCATTCTCTAAGCATTGAATCTTTGGCTGTTAAAAGTGGTATCGAACTGCATTAATTCTGCAGTGGAGATGCACCCTCAGTAAGCTTGGTGTCTTTTCACCCTCTGGTTGTAGGGAGCTGTGTCTTGTCAGGTCAGGATTTCCTCTGAGCCTAAAGGCACTAGTGCAAGCATGGGCAAACAGCGGCCCTCCAGGTGTTTTGGACTTCAACTCCCACAATTCCTAACAGCCTCAGGCCCTTTCCTTTTGCCCCTCAGCCGCTGTTTGCCTATCTTGCACTAGTCTGATCTTGGAAACTAAACAGCCCTGGTTAGTAGTTGGATGGGATATCAAATATTATGTACTAGACTAAAATATTATGTACTATACTAGCGAATAAACCTTTGCTGAAGGGATGAGAAGGTTAATCTTTATTGGGCAGCGCAAAGTGCAATAAGACTTGACAAGATACCTCAATCATATATATCGTTTAAATATGCTTTTTATGTTTTACCGATTGCTTATTATGTTTTTTATCGTTGTCTTTGAATGTTGTTGATGTTGGAAGCCACTTTGGGTCCCTTTGTGGGAGAAAAGCAGGATATAAATAAAGATTTATTATTAGGTTGCTGTGAGTTTTCTGGGCTGCATGCATAGCCATGTTGCAGAAGCATTGTCTCCTGACATATTTTGCCCACATCTATGGATGATGTCTGCCATAGATGTAGGCAAAACCTCAGGAGAGAATGCTTCTGAAACATTGCCATACAGCCCAGAAAACTCACACCAATCTAGTGATTCTGGCCATGAGAGCCCTCCACAACACAAAGATTTATTATCGCTTATCCAACCTTCGCTCATCCAATGTTCTGTATTATCCAAGTCTGCCTCCTTCCTGAATCCATTGCAATGTTTTGGTGGTAAATTCATAAATACAGTAATTGCTACATTACGTTACCATGTATTAAACTGCTTTTTCTGTTGATTTGTTGTAAAACATGTTTTGATGCTTAATTTGTAAAATCGTAACGTTATTTGATGTTTGATAGGCTTTTCCTTAATCCCTCCTTATTATCCTACATTTTCGCCTATCCAATGTTCTTCTCCTTTTCCTTCCTTCCTCCTCCTCCTCCTCCTCTTCATCTTCTTCTTCTTATTTGAAAAACAACAAGATGAGTACACAGCAGACAAGATCACTGCTGGCTGTTGAATTGTTTAGGACTGTGTGATTTATGTGCGAATGATGCATGCAGATCCCAGTAAGGTGTAGCTGGCAGATGGTAATTTTGTCAGCGCCGATTGTGTTTAAGTGCAGGCCAAGGTCTTTAGGCACTGCACCCAGTGTGCTGATCAACACTGGGACCACGTTTACTTGCTTGTGCCAGAGTCTTTGCAGTTCAATCTTTAAATCCTCAATCCTGCTGTCATCTGGGATTACAACATCGACAATCCATACTTTGTTTTTTAACACAATTGTGAGGTCAGGAGTATTGTGCTCTAGAACTCTGTCTGTCTGAATTCGGAAGTCCCAGAGGAGTTTGATGTGTTCATTTTCTGTAACTTTTTCCGGCTTGTGATTCCACCAGTTCTTTGTCACAGGCTGATGGTATTTGTGGCACAAGTTCCAATGGATCATCTGAGCAATGGTGTTATGCCTCTGCTTGTAGTCTGTATGAGCAATCTTCTTGCAGCAGCTGAGGATGTGATCTATTGCTTCATCTGCTTCTTTGCAGAGTCTACATTTGGGATCTGTCGTCGACTTTTTAATTCCGGCTTGTTCTTGGGCTGCCAGAATCAGTCCCTCTGTATTATTATTATTATTATTATTATTATTATTAATCTGTCAAAGGAGGGGACTGGCAAAACCTTCATCCAAACTCTAGTGTGGAGATTATGAGCTCTTAGATAACTTTGTACATTTAACATTGACCTCATATTGGGATTTTACTATAATGTAAATGTTGGCACTTCTGTTACAGTCAGCATGGTTACCCCTGCATTTTTATAAGAAGAGCCCCCATTTAGAGATAATAAAATATTCTTCCATTTGGATGGCATGAGTCTGCTGATTTGAATCCTATTCTTATTAGGGAAGAAGTCAAGCTGTTTAAAAATATGAAGAGTGCAGTGTGATCAAAGAAGATATCTTGGGGTTCTTCCACACAGCCATATAACCCAGAATATCAAGGCAGATAATCCAGCTCAATGTGGATTTTATACAGCTATGTAGAAGGGGCCTTGGTTTGAGCAGACAGTATTTTAGGAAAGCTGATTGTTTCCCTGGAGGTCTAACATAAAAGCAATAGATTGTAGTTAGCTCTTGGAGCATGAAATCTGTTTACTTCTACCTATCCTGTACCTACCAGTGCATCTAGGAATATTTTTTTAAACAAAGACCCAGTAACACTCCATTCACCTCTTTCCAAAGGGGAGCTCAACTAGAGAAGTATTGTAGCCCTTGAACGTCTCATATTTGGGCAAACTATGTGAATCTGTCTTTCTGTACATCTGTACCAGGCATGGGCAAACTTCAACCCAGAGGGCCTATGTTTGGCCATGCCTGATCTATACACTGGGACAGTGACCCAAAGAACTCTTTCTTATAGTTATCTTTTTTTTCTTTTAGAATTTCTATTTCCCATACTTTCCCTCTTTTTCTCACACATGTGTGAACATGGGTGCTGTGAAATCTAAAGTAAACATGATATTGGCAGTTCGATTTGTTGAGGGCACAGATCTTTTTTATTTTTGGAACAATAACTGAGGTTTGATTAACTTTCAGTTATTTTCAGTTATAGATCAGAATGTGTGTCACATTAGGTATTTTTGAACTGCAACTCATGGGATTCTTTGCCATTGATTATATTGATTGGGGCTGATTGGAATAGCAATCCAGCATCATCTGTGATGCTAGAACTTGCTCACCCTTGCATATACAGATAGTAAAGGGGAAAACTGACCTGTTTAATGTCTTCCCGAATTCATAGTTAATATGGAAAGGCTACACATTTGTCTTGTTGAGATGTACAGGTATGGAAATGAGAAAAAGGCTACTAACGTGTCAGATTCTTGGGATGTGTTAGGTTCTTGTTCATATGAATTGCCAGTGATGTTAGGCAGGATTCTCACTGCCTCTCAACTTTTGTAGAAATCTTTTTGTTTGTGTTTTGTTCCTTTTTTCTGTAGAAACTTCTCCTGGGAGCTGGATCCTGAGTTGTATGGGGACAGACATTACAATCCTTTTACCCGCGAATTTTATCCCAACCTAGAAGACATTTTGGGAGTTGATATTACTGGAGTGACGGATGAAGACATAGATTCAGCTGTTTTATTTGGAACTCTGCGAGGCAATATAGTTGGATTACGGTACTACACAGGGGTGGTAAGTACTGGGGGAATAATACCTGATAACATTGAGAGCTAGACTGATAAAACAGAATACCTGGTTACAGCCAAAGGCACACAGAGCTTCTGTAATGGAGACATCCCTTCAGATATTCACATATGCAGAGATCTACTTGCACAGAATTGAAAAAATAGCACCATGCTTCTCGAACATGGATGCTAAGGTAAACTTCTTTGGTATCCTTCTCACCATGTCCTTTCAACACATTCCACTTATACATACATTGAATGTTAGTTTTGAAAGGGATACTTCAATTTCTTTAGCTGTTCTTTAGATCAGTTATTCAAATATGTGGTTATCACATGCATACTCTTGAATTTTTTAAAAAATGTGACACCATGTTTATTAGCCCTTGGTAACCATCTACCAAACTGTTCCACCTTCTAACTATCTGATTCTCCCTCAGTCCTTCCTCAGTCCCAATTTACATATGTGCATAGGGCATATATGCACAAAGCTGGATTTTCTTAAAAAGTACAGAGTAAAATGGCATCTAATTCCTCAGGTGTGCAAAAGAAAAGGCTTTCACTTTGAAACCAGAAGGATGTTACGTGTTCAGACAAGAATAGGATTAAATTAAGGGCAAATTATTTTCCACGTGTGGATCCAGCTAAGCTTGGTCTGTATTTGAAAATGTATATAATACTGTATTTTTTTTAAAAAAAGATTGTAACGCCCTCATGTTACATGCTTCTTTAATGCAGAGAGGGTATTGATAACCTTAGGTTATGCAATGTATATTTCTAATACTTTGTGTATTTAAATGACCATCCTTCTATTTATCTTTTCAAAACTTTTTAAACAGGTTCTATACACAGTTGAATTTAGTCTGCCATTAAATTCTTTCAGCCCCCCCCCCCCCCCCCCCCCCCAAGTTCAGCTCTGTGAACAAAGAAATATTTGCTATACTGCCACTTGCCTGCTTAATAGGATAAAACACATTGGAGTTTTTAAACAGCACGTATGATTGGTATTTGTTGATCTGATCCAACAGAAGCTTCTGTTGGCTGAACACAGAGATAGGTATGCTTTACCTCCAGATATGCTATCATGATTCAGAGGTTATTTTGGAATAGTATGAGATAGAGGAAATTGGTAAAACTGCCTTTCCCGTCCACTGGATTATAGGCAATTGTTTCAAGGAATGACATAAAGTGATACGATTCATTGTTGAAAGATAAATGTGTCAGCAATCAGGATAATCTTGTTTTTCTAACTGTTAAATTTTGGAACTAATTTTCAGGTCAATAATAATGAAATGGTTTCACTCCAACGACAACCTAATAATCCATATGACAAGAATGCTGTTCAAGTAAATAATGTAAATGGAGATCAGGTTGGCCACATCAAAAAAGAGTTGGCAGCATGCTTGGCACCCATCATGGATAACAAAATGGCAGTGATAGAAGGGTAAGAAGAGTTTGCATGGTGTGATCGCTGTTTTTGTCATGAGAACAATCATTGATTTCTTAAATAGCAATTTAGCAGTAACATGTAATAAAAGTATAACTTTAATTTTATTTGCATGATGAAATCGTATGTGTGCTTTAATAGTAACTCCCATTGAGAAGCAAAGGAAAATATTTAGAAGCAGTATTAACAGATTGCATAAACTGAGAATGTCTATATGGTGACCATCCTTCCTCTGTATGTTCACTGCCTTTAGGGTAGTGCAGTGAGGCAAAGTGGTGTTCTGAGATGGTTTTCAAGCAACCTTTCATGTGGATATAAGTGATTTTAATGTTTGTATATATTTATGGTTTTATGTCCCAGCATTGAATGTTTGCTGTATATATGTTATACTCTGCCCTGAGTCCCCTGCGGGGTGAGAAGGGCGGAATATAAATGTTTAAAATAATAAATAAATAAATAACATTGTGTTCAATATACTTACTACTAAGAAATTAAAAAAAATGTATATGTGTGTGTGGGTTTTGATGGGAGAGCCCTATACTCCTCTGAACTCCTCTTCGGAACAGCAGGATATAAATGTAATGTAGCCTTTTCCTCTTTTTTCTAGAGTTGTTCCCTTTGGTGCAAATAATGTCTTCACAATGCCAGTGCAGTTGAGCTTTTGGGGAAAAGAACAAAATAAGCAAGTGGTTCTAAATCGACTTAAAATGCATGGATTTAAGTTAGCTGCTCCAGGTAAATTAAGTTAAATGATTATTTGATATACTGACCCAGAGAACATTTTATTGCTCAGCATATGAGGGGTTCGACTTAGTGAATTTTAATTTGAATGTTGTAGAACACTGTAAAGGAGCCCCCGGTGGCACAGTGGGTTAAACCACTGAGCTGCTGAACTTGCTTAACAAAAGGTCACAGGTTCAAATCCGGGGCGTGGCATGATCTCCCGCTGTGAGCCCCAGCTTCTGTCAAGCTAGCAGTTTGAAAACATGCAAATGTGAGTAGATCAATAGGTATCGCTCCTGTGGTAAGGTAACAACACTCCATGCTGGCCACATGACCTTGGAGGTGTCTACGGACAACGCCGGCTCTTCAGCTTAGAAATGGAAATGAGCACCAACCCCGAGAGTTTATGAGTCTCTCTCTCTCACTCTCTTATTCTATTTTTTTTAAAAATGATTTAGGGACCAACTGGAAAGCTGGAAAAGCTGAAACAAGTTACAGTGCTCCACTCCATGCTGCTGTACAAATGACAACTGAGCAGGTATAATATTATTCATTTTGTTTTGTTGTTAGGGTGCAACAACCCTAGTTTTTCATCATTTTTAAATCATTTTATTCTATACATGTGGCTCGCCCATTGTCACTGTGGTTGTAATTTTATATTGCTAATGTATTTATATGTTTTTTCTTATATTATTATGTAATTATGATGTTGTTGCTTGTTTGTGTTCTTGCCTTTACTTCATTGTAATTTGTTGTTTGGGCTTGGCCTCATGTAAGCCGCCCCAAGTCCCCGTTGGTGGAGATAAATATTTTTTTATATTATTATTATTATTATTATTATTATTATTATTATTGCAAAAAGTTGTGGAGTTAATAGCGCCTTTCAGAAAGGTATAGGAATATTGAAAGCCAATGTGTAGTAGTTTGAATGTCAGACTAAGACATTAGAATTCCAGCTCAGCCAGGAAATCTACTGGCTTCTGCAAGTCATACTCTCTCAACTTCAGATCCCTCTTCTTTGAGCTTGTTTATGTCATTGAACTTCATCAATTCCAGGGCCATACAGTTCATTTCAGATCCTCTTGCTAATGTGCAGTCCATCTTAGCATACATTGAAACACTTTTAGCCTCAGAGAGCTCAGCAAACGGATTAATCACATGAAACAGTTGATTAGTCGTAGTTCATATATGGTAAAAATTATATTGCAAGTTTATTTGATAGAATAGAGAAGACTAACTTTTGTGTATGTCCTGTATTCTAGCTTAAAACTGAATTTGACAAACTCTTTGAAGATCTGAAGGAAGATGATAAAACCCGTGAAATGGAAGCTGCAGAGGTATATATTCTATTCATAATGCCAAACTAGAAACTGCAGTGGCACAGTGAGTTAAGCCTTTGTGCCGGCACGACTGCTGACCGAAAGACCGTGTGTCATTAGCATATTGGTGATAACACAATCCACTGCCTCTGTACAACCTCTCCAGCAATTTTTTTGAAGATGAATCTGGGGAGCAGGATGAGCTCCCATCTGTCAGTTCCAGCTTCTCATGCGGGAATATGAGAAGCTTTCCACACAATGGTAAAACATCTGTGCGTCCCTTGGGCAATGTCCTTGCAGATGGCTGATTCCCTCACAGCAGAAGCGATTTACGATTTCTCAAGTCACTTTTGACGCTATAACAATAATAATGCCATAATGGGTCATGTTGTGATTAGAGAAAGTGCATTGATATGCTAGTTAAATCCTAGAACATTATGATGTGAAGAAGTAAGAACTATAATTTGTGGCTTTTGCTATAATAAAACAGTATATATGACATCTTAACCTTACAGGCTGTTTCAACTCCATTACTTCCACATCAGAAGCAAGCTTTAGCGTGGATGGTTTCACGTGAAAACAATCGGGAATTGCCCCCATTTTGGGAAGAGAGGGAGAACTACTTCTACAATACCATTACAAACTTTGCAGAAAAAAAGCGACCAGAAAATGTTCTTGGAGGAATATTGGCAGATGATATGGGTTTGGTAATTTATTTATTTATTTGCAATATTTCTATGTATCACAGTCCACAAAAGCTGATGGGACAGTGAAGAAATAGAAACCAGTGATGCTAAAGGTGGAAGCTCTGATCAGTCTTCCATCCATCAAAAATTATTAAGTTGACACCATAATCCACAAGGCCTTCTCCTTCTTGTTCTTCATGACAACTTCCAGTCCAACTGGCTCAGGGCAATGTTAAGAGCCCTACAATACATGTATCTTTCCACTCAAATCTCTTCTAGCTATGGGAGGTGATAAGGCATGTGTAGTAGTCAAACCGAATTTTTTTGACATAGAAGGGAAGACAGAACTCATGAAATCACCTACATTTCTAGCACCAGAAGATTTAAGATGGCAGGCAGTCCCCAAGTTCCGAACAAAATAGTGTCTGTAGGTTTGTTCTTAAATTGAATTTGTTTGTAAGTTGGAACAGGTACATTTTTAAGTGTAACTCCAGCCAAATATAAAAACAGTCCTTATAGATTGCTCTGTTTCCTTGAACCTTTGAACTGACCCTTTGAATATAGCTTTTAGAGACTTTTGTTGGCTTTCCTAGAATCAAACAGAAAGGAGAAATATGAACCATGTGTTATTAGCATATTGGTGGTAACACAACCCAGTACAGCCTCTTCAGCAATTTTATGAAGATGCTGATTGGAACCCTGTAGATTCCTGTAAGCCAAAGCCAAGTAATAATCAATTGTCTTCTAATGTCACCTTCTGAAGGCTGAGAATATACAGGATAGAATTATGTTTGTGTAACTTAACATTATATCTGTGAGTTAAATGTGTAAGAAAATGTAAGACCAAAAGAATAGACCTATTTGAAAGAAGTGTGTGAGTGAAAATGTCTCCATAAATGCAAGCATATAATGGACACAAGAATATAAATTATAACTTTCATTCTCTGTTTGAGTCTGTCCAGTGGCAATGTACTCTTTAGCTCAATATAGAAGATTGCCATTAGTGCTTTAAAGCTGTAAAATAAATATCCATCTTCTTTTCAGGGATTCAGGATTTTATCATTTTTTCACACCTATCAAAATACATAAGAAGCATATAAATAAATGTTCTCCTTGTTTCAAAAGACAAAATCAAATAAAAAGGAAACATTTTGTAATCCTTGGCTAATTAGGAGCATTTGATCTAAAGAAAAAGCAACACTAGGTACAGGGCACCACAAAGACTCTTAATGGCTAATAATCATTAACATGTATCTCTAATAAAAAAGCAGTAAAACATACGCGCACACACATGATAATGGTTTATAAATGAATCCTAACAACTTGTTTCCTGTATTTTAGGGTAAAACGCTAACTATGATTGCAGTCATTCTTACCAGTTTTCATGAAGGCCAACCTCTTCCTGTTCAAAGGAAAAGTAATCAAGTCAAGGAGGTGAGGTCCGGAATTCACAGTAGATATGCTAATGCTATACTTTGTATTTGTCTTTGAATACAGTCTTCAGCCATACATTTATTTACAAGTTGCCTTCTTTGTAGCACATGGAAAAATGAAAGTCTGATTTCTGATGTTTGGACTTGTGGGGTTCTGTGGATACTATCTACTGGATAGTTGAAGACTTAATCATGTTTTATCTATTCTATAAAATACTTGTACTAGTTTTAACATGTTTTCTGTTCGATTTAGTGATTCTTATGTACAGAACTAACAATGTTTCATCAGTTTTCAGTACAATTGTATTGTTTTGCTTCTGTTTCCTTTCTTAGGAATGTGTTCCTACTGCAAAAACCAACATAAAAGGTAATTTGGTTAATTAAGTGCTGATCTGCACATAGGTAATTTGATTCATGCCCAATTGGAGGCCATGCTCAAGTGGGCTGTATCCATACTAAAGTAGTCACTGAGTTGTTGTAGTTTTTTTCGGGCTATATGACCATGTTCTAGAGGCATTCTCTCCTGATGTTTCGTCTGCATCTATGACAAGCTCTCCTGACGTTTCGCCTGTGTCAGGCAACACGTCAGGAGAGAATACCTCTAGAACATGGCCATATAGCCCGAAAAAACCTACAACAACCCAGTGATTCCGGCCATGAAAGCCTTTGACAGTACAAAGTAGTCATTGTTTGGTTTTTTTGAGATGTATCAAATAAGGGCCCTTCCACACAGCCCTATATCCTAGAATACCAAGGCAGAAAATCCCACAATATCTTCTTTGAACTGGGTTATCTGAGTCCACGCACAGATAATGTGGGTTTTTCCGCCTTGATATTCTGGGATATAGGGCTGTGAGGAAGGGCTCAATGTTAGCCAACTATCTAAACTATCTATTGATTGAATGGGAATCGGAGTGCGACTTAGTTTAGATCTCACTCAATGAAAATATATTTGATGAATTGTAATTTATGTTAAGCATTTTTTGATGAGGCCCTCCTGGCCTTTAGAAAGAGAACAAAGACATGGTTATGGGACCAAGCTTTTGACTAGTAAATTAATGTAGTTATCATATATTCTTTATGTGATTATGTTGTTTATTCATCCAGTTGCTTCTGTAGCCTCATGGACCAACCCAGGCCAGAGCTCCCTGTCAGCCGTGGCCACCCCAGCTCCTTCAGAGTCAAACCAGTCCCTTCAAGGATACCATTATTATGTTTTTGCCTTGTTTATTTTATTTTGATATATTATGTATTTGTTGTATTTATTGTCTATTGTTTTGCATATTATTTTGTTGTATTATATTTGGGCTCGGCCTTATGTCAGCCACCCTGAGTCCCCATTGGGGAGATGGTGGCGGGATATAAATAAAGATTATTTTTATTATTATTATTATTATTATTATTATTATTATTATTATTAATGCAATACAAGAAGTAAATATGGAATATGTGCAATTGACATTTGGAAAGGCCCAGTTTGGATCATGTGATTTTAATGTTTTTATTAGGTGTTTTTAATGTTTATGTTTTCATGTTTAAATGTTCTCTTATCTTAGGGTTAATTGTCTTATTGAATTAATGCATAGTTATATATTTTGATTTGAGTTATGATTTGGTTTTTACATATGTAAGGTATTGAATTTTGCCGTTATTTGTTGTAAACCACTTTGAGTCCCCCCTGGGGTGAGAAAAGTGGTATATAAAAACAGTAAATAAACAATAATAAATTGATTTCTAAGATAATTATTTTTCTCTTGTCTGAAGAAGAACCCAAATGTGGGTTTCAAGTGAATACTTCTGACAGAAAGGATGAAGACGATTCCGTTCCTTCTCAGTCATCCAGGTTGCGTCCAAAAAGGTAGATTCTTTAATTTATTATATTGGCATGTAACCAGATTTTGTTCATTTTCATGGTTACCTCCTTTTTGTTGACATTTTGGTTGAAAATGAACAAAATCTGACTACCAGTATTAAAAAAACTCTAAAATCAGGAACAACACCCCAAAACAGGGAATTCCAGACAAGAAACAACCAGGGCCAGCTAATCACCTCCCAAAAAAGGATCCCCTCAGGCAGTAAGCAGTGAGACTTTGAAGCTGCAAGGCCATTCAATGCTAGTCAAGGTGGCCAATTGCAATATTCACACCTGCCTCAAACAGACGAGAGTTCTTTCTCCCATCATGGACTTTCCACAGATAAATAAACCCCACTTGCCTAGTTTCCAACAGACCTCATAACCTCTGAGGTTGCCTGCCATAGATGTGAGTGAAATGTCAGGAGATAATGCTTCTGGAACATGGCCATACAGCCCAGAAAACTCACTAATTCTGGCCATGAAACGACAATATAGTCTGGCACATGTCTTTATAAGGAGAGTACTTTTGGGAATTAAAAAGAAACTAAAGAGCTTTCTGGGTGGTTATACCAAGTGACATTGTTACATGTACTCTAAACTGGGCAGTTAAGATGTTGTAAAGATGTTTCTTTTTTTAAAGTATGTGCAGATAAAATCAATAGACTGAATTATTCTATTACGAATATGGGAAGTATTCTGTATGTTATTTTTTCTTAATCCTTCAGAAATACAGGAAAGAAACCAAAGTATTCGATGAACAGTGACTCTGATCCTGAAGAACAAGGAACACAAATAAAAAGTGAGCTTCACTTTACTTTTGGTATTATTTCCCTACTATCTTTTTTTGCATCTTTGCTTAATGCATTAAAACTTCTCTTGTTTGTCCAGCTAAAGTGGGGAAAAAGCCTGCAGCAACAAGAAAAAGAAGAAAAGGTACGATGCTTAAGTACTCAAATTTCTTGTCTTTTCTCCCCATTCTAGGATTGATATCCCTATGTGGTTTTTGAAAAATGTGCATACATTCATAATGTGGAGTTACTGTCTCAATTTTAGGAAGTATTGGTGGTTTTAAGAATAAACACATTGTCTCAAAAGACTTACCCATTGCTTTCACACAGCGAGGTGGCTCAGTGTTAATATCTGCAGGAGTTGGACTGGATGGCTCTTGTGATTTCCTCCAACTCTATGATTCTGTGATCTCCAGTGTTATTGTTATCTCTATGTCCCATTCTGTTTTCACTATGTTAGTAAGATAGGCCCCCTGGTGGCACAGTGGGTTAAACTGATGAACTTTTGGACGGAAAACTTGGCAATTTGAATCTTGGGGAGCAGGGTGAGCTCCCGCGGTTAGGCCCAGCTTATGCCAGCCTAGCAGTTCGAAAACATGCAAATGTGAGAAGATCAATAGGTACCACTTCTGCAGGAAGGTAATGGTGCGCCATGCAGTCATGCTGTCCTCATGACCTTGGTGGTGTCTACAGACAACGCCGACTCTTCAGCTTAGAAATTGAGATGAGCACCACCCCACATAGTCGGACATGGTTTCCTCTGACTTAATGTCAGGGGAAAACTTTACCTTTACTTATATAAAGGTAAAGGTTAATGAAGTTCGTGCCCTCCAAATAGGATGTTCTGTCCCACAACGCTGTGTGTTTTATGAGTTCCATTTAAACTTCCTGCTCCTATTTCATCTCATCATAGTCTGTTAATTGTTTTTATTCGGAATATGTGGCCTGCCCATTATCATCTCTATTTTGATTGTGTCTATTGGAATTTTTATTTTATTATTATTTTTAATGTCATTTTGATAATGTTGTTGTCTGTTGTATATGCTTTGATTTTATTGCTGTATTATGTTGTCCGGGCTTGGCTCCATGTAAGCCGCTCAGGGTCCCCATCGGGAAGATGGTGGTGGGGTAGAAATAAAGATGATGATGATGATGATGATGATGATGATGATGATGATGATGTTAGTAAGAATAATATTCATTTATAATCTGTATGCTAATTGCAGTGGCTAAATCTGTGGTGTTGAGAGTAAAACTCGTTGAATACCTTCTCAGCTGCTGCTTGAAATTATTGTTTTGTAATTTAATAACATTTATAAACAAAACTAAGCAGAATCCTGGCAGAAACACACACATGCATTTCTTTTTGTTCTGCGATCTGCAGCTGCTCCTGATATTCAGGAAGATGAAACATTTGCCGCAGCTCTTGGGGAATCCAGTGTTTCTTTGAAAAAGACAAAGAAAAAAGGTATATATCTAAAACTGATACTTACAATATTTCTCAAATGGAAGTGCTGTATTAAAGCTTTAATATTTTTTTAATTTTTAAAAGATTTTTTTTAAAAAAAAAATAGGATGTCTATAAGAAGATGCATGTCAGCAGCCTGTCGAATGAAAGTGGAATGTACCATACAACACATGTGCAACTATTAACACGCACATCTCTGTGTGTGTAATACAGAGTACTACATGTATGTCTTACAGTGCAGTTGTAGAGGTGATTGTGCTTTTTTTTCTCTCTCCAAGGTGTTGCTGCTGTACAGGATAAGAAATCTGAAGCTGACAAGAAACTCAAAACAACATTGATCATTTGTCCACTTTCTGTCCTAAGTAACTGGATTGTAGGTTTGAAATTTAAATGATTTTCCTTTCTAGTGCTTAGCTCTCTCTCTCTCTGGATATGGTGTCTCTGCTTGACATTGAAAAAAATACTTACTTTTATTGGGTGTAGATTCTCAGCAAAAACAAAATATAGCTCTAGAGACACCTAGGGATGGAAGTAGGTCAATAGCATGTATTCTTGTAATCAAGTGTTTCTCTTTTAAAACAGTGTGTAGAATTCCTTCCCACACTAATTGGTAAAGTTATCAGGTTGTATAATTTTAAGTTTTCACTATCGGAACAACCCCAATCTTCTATTTCTTCTGCAAACTCTGATGTGTGTATGGTGTATATGTGTAAGACAGACAGCACTTCAAGAAATAAGGTTATCAGGCAAACAGAATACAGAAGTCTATTTTTTTTGCGTCTGATACCTCTGGTTGCTTAATTAGATATTTTAGGAACTACTTGCTGAAGTTTCTTCCACCCAGGACTGAGATGATGGACAGTTGTCTTCTAAAAGCTGCATCACAATCATGTGCACAATCACTTCTTTCTTTGGATAGCCATTGCCTTCAGTCTTAGTAGAATTCTCAGTCTAAAAGTCCTGCTTCTTGCTGTGCTTGCTTTTATCTACCAGCCCTGGTTTTGAAATTCTCTTCTAGTTGATGGTCAATTTATTGCCTGTAGCTCCTGATCAGTCATGTTTTAATCTCTCTCAGTCTTCACTGGCCTTTCTTTAGTGTGTAATTAAGGTTTGTGCAGTTTTTTTGGTAGACCTCCTGACCGTCAGAACCAGTGGTGTCTCTCTAAATATAAGTGGAAAGATTTGGAAAGAGCAAGATTGTAAATGTAATTTAAATATTCTTAAGTAAGATTTACATTAAGCTAGGCAATCTGATGCCTCAGACTCAAAATCCCTTACTTCCCGATCAAGTGATTGTTGAAGGGTTTTTTTGGTAATACTGTATATGCAAATCACCTGGTGGGAAACATGCTGCCAAGTCATGTGTCTTTTCGTGCAGAGAGACAACTCCTACTGATTTCAGAAAAGCTATGAAGTGAGAATTGGATTGCAGCCAGAATCATACATCTTATAAAAACTTGTGTAAAGCTTTAGCTTTGACCACATGTATGTTTCTCATATATTTTCTGTAGAATTATTTTTATGGTGACAAAAAATTGATTTAAGTATATACTGTTGCATCTTATTAAGTTCAACCTACTAAGCAACATTTGCTACAGAAATCACATATGACAGAAATATTTATCTGTTAGCAGCCAGCCATAATTTCCCTTTATTTTTTAAATTTCAGGATCAGTTTGAACAACATGTTGATCCAGATGTTCATTTGAACCTGTATGTTTACTATGGCTCTGAGCGAAGTAAAGATCCAGCAGTACTTTCAAGTCAGGACATTGTATTAACAACATACAATGTTTTAGCGAGTGACTATGGAGTAAGTATGCAAGCGAAACTTCCTGCAAATCCCGTATTTTCTGCCTCAGATATTGCATGTATGTATTTGTAGCCTCTTTAATTTTATGCATTGTGTATTAATAAAACTGGATTTATAGGTTAAGATCAAAAGTGTGCTAGCTTCCAGGCTTTTAAACATGTGTGGTACTGTTTGAGTTCTTCTTGCTCTGCATGAAGTCTGCATACATTCTTCTGACAGAAAGATAAAAAACAAAATGCTGTCTCTTTGTTTTTTGGTGGTACTTTCTTGTAGTATAATCTTTTTATTTAATTTTGTTCCAGACCGGAAGTAATAGTCCTTTGCACAACTTAAAGTGGCTGAGAGTGGTACTGGATGAGGGTCACACAATACGAAATCCCAATGCTCAACAAACAAAAGCTGTTTTAGGCCTAGATGCACAGAGGAGATGGGTTCTGACAGGTAATTTGTGCCAGCATCATAGCATTCTAGTACTATTGTGTTAACTTCCAAATGTATGTATATTTCCAATTGTAAGCCTTTGGCAAGATTCAGTGTTTTACTTGTAAGGTGGCAACAACAATATGTTAGGACTACATATTGCACTCAGCAAAATTATTTCATGTCAGAATGAAGTTTATTCTGTACTTGGAACAATGAGTTGAAAGCTGTCTCTCTGGCCCTCCAATGTTCCGTAAAATATGTATGTATTCTTTCTCACTGTTTCTGGAATTGTGTGACTTTTTCTTGCACACAAATGTACATTTGAGGTATAAGAAGTCTTAACTGTTAAAGCAGGAATTGGGATTATTTATATTTAAATTGCTATCCCTCAAAATCTCATGCCTTCCTTATCTACCCTTCATGGCATTATCTTGGTGGAGGGATTGTTATGCTGATAGAAGCCATGCTCCTGGTTGGATTACAACCCATCTACACAGACCATTTATTGCAGTTTCAAATTGGCATTAAAGAAAGTGGTTTCACTATGCAGATGATTACATAGGTAATACTGGACCCAGTTTGCGGCCTGGAGGTGATTACACAAACCACAGAGCACTGATACACATTAACAGCTTTTTTTTGTTCACTTTTGTTGGAGTTTGTTTTCTGACTGCTGCAGTTTGATTCTAGCTTGGATCCGCATTTAATTGACAGTGTACATGAGGTCGCACTTTGAACTGAATTATATGCGTGTACACTGACCATAAGTAAATACTGCATTTTGTGGCTGGGTAGATCCAGCTATAGTTGGAGTAATGTAACATATAGACTCAACAATGTCAATAAGACTCAGGAAAAACCCATCAATATAACCATAATCCAAGTTTATGATCCAGCTACAGATGCAGACAAAGAAGAAAATGACAAGAGTCCATCTGGATTCCAGGAGGAAATTGGGAGAGAAGTTAGGAATGCATATATTTGCAAAACATTGGACAACTTTTTGAGCAGTAATGTGGGGTTATACTGCTGAACATATATTGTTTGCATGATAGTCAAACTGACAATAGTTTTGACATACTTTATGGATCTTTGTACAGGAGATCCTTTCAGTTAGTCCAATTTTAACTCATTTTGAGTGAATTGTGCAAAGTATAGCTTGTTTTTGTTTTGTTCCCTTTCCCTCAATACAGGCACACCTATTCAAAATTCCTTAAAGGACCTGTGGTCTCTTCTGTCCTTCTTAAAACTGAAGCCTTTTGTAGATAAGGAATGGTGGCACAGAACAATCCAGCGGCCGGTTACAATGGGAGATCAAGGAGGGCTTAAGTATAAACAGTGTTTTTTAAAAAACTATGTGTAATGTAACCTTTTCATGTAAATATCAATCAATATAAAGTGTATTGCATTAGTCTGAATAATTCTCATATTGATCTTCAATTTTAAATAAAATGCAGACAGTGTGCAACTGCACTTGATGTCCAAGATACAACAGTGCCAGGAGATATGAAATATGTATTGTATTAATGCTGTCTCATGGGTTTGTCTTTTGCTTTTGGTAGGCGTTTACAATCCCTGATTAAGAGTATTACACTTCGCAGAACTAAAACAAGCAAAGTAAAAGGGAAGCCAGTTTTGAAACTCCCAGAGCGCAAAGTATTCATTCAGCATATTACATTTACAGAGGAAGAGAGTGTAACCTATAACACTGTGAAAAATGAAAGTATATCTGCTATTCGCAGGTAAGTGGTGCCAACAGTTAAGTAGAAAATATCAATTGGGTTGCAGTTGTGATTTGAATTTGAAATTGTTTCATAATGTAACTGAAAGGAGCAGTCAGTGAAAGAGAATATAATTTTAAGTATAACTTTAGAAAGAAATTGTCCTGACATTTGTCGTTGTTTGGACAAATGGGCAACTTTGACAGGTCTGAGAAGGACAGCTGTATTTATGACCCTTTAAGAGTCGTAAAAGTGTTGAAAAAAAAAAGACACACACACTTGGAGGTGAAGATGCCTAGATTTGTAATTTGGGGACTTACTGTATATGTAGGAGACCATTCCTGCCTTAGAGATTATTTGTGTTGACATTCTATCTTGCTCACTCTATCTCGACCAAATTTGCATTTTCATGCTGATGTAGTTTTAAAACATTTTATCAAACCTTTATGTACTTTAATGTAACCTGTACACTATAATTATGTCAGAGAAATTAACAAAAGGTTAGTCAGGGAAAATCAGGAAAATTGAAAAATTAACACTTTGATGGCAATGTGATTCCTTTCGATCAAGTCTAGTTATGTTAAAATTGGACTAGGGGTCTAGGGATATTTGGATCACAGTTCATTTACTCAAACTGTCATATTTTTGCTTTAATATCAAAATTATTCTATAGGTATTTTAATGAGGGGACTATTTTGAGCAACTATGCAGATGTTCTTGGTGTTTTGCTGAGACTCAGACTGTTATGCTGTCATCCATCACTCTGTATAAGTGCATCGTCATCATCTAGCAATGTGGAAGGTGAGTGTACCCAAGTGTATTTTTTAAATTCAATGCGCTTCGAGCTTTACGGTGCTGAAATACGGAGTGTTAGGTTTGTTTTGAACTTTACATATTGTGATATGTAAAGTTGTAAGTTGGATGTTTGTAACTCACGGGCTGCCTGTATATTGATGGTAGTGGATTATGTCCACCTTGTTCCCAAGAAGTGAAAATGAAGGTGACTTTGTTTACAGAACAAATGGCTTCATAGTTTTCCCTTTCCCCCATGTGTGGGGAATGTAAAAATAAATCTTAACCTTTTCTGAAGACAACTTTACTGTGGGATGAGTTCACATGAGAAGTGTCTTAATCTTTAGAAGACATTATTCTGTCTCTTAAGTATTACCACAAATGTAGTTTTATTTTTGACATTAAATGGTAGTGTCTGATAAGGATGGTTATGTTGTGTTTCCTCATGAACATCTTAAATAGTGAATGGACAGGCAAAAATAGAGCCACAGCGTGTGTGGATAAAGAAATTAGAGGAATGCGGGGATTGCAGTAGTAAATAAGGGATGAAACATAAGGGAGCAATGCCTCCAAAACCATCCCAGTGAGAACTGACCAAAGAATGAACCAAAAGAAAAACTGTGGTAAGGCATGGGGAATGAAATAATGTAGAAGACAATGTAACTTATAAAATTCTTTCAGAGCAGAGTGTGCATTACAACAATCCTTGCAGATTCCAGTTTTTTTTTCTTAAACATTGCATTTTGTATTATCTTACCTTGCATGATGTTATAATTGAGTTTTAATTTGTGTAATATTGTTGATTTAGCATTTATTTGTGTCTCTGGGCAGGTAATAGCACTCCTGAAATGTTACGTGAGAAATTAATAGAGAAGATGAAGCTAGTCTTAAGCTCGGGATCAGACGAAGAGTGTGCAATTTGTTTGGAGTCTCTGAACTTCCCTGTGATAACTCACTGTGCTCATGTGTTCTGCAAACCATGCATCTGTGAAGTCATTCAAAGGGAGAAGGTCAGTTATTCCCTTCAGCCAACTGTAAGGAATTATTCAAAAGTGATTTGCACTAATCCTGGGTAATTGGAAAGTACTTTGGATGACTTTGTTACTAAAACAAAGTAATTCTCTGTTTTGTTACTGTATGCCTTCAAGTTGTTTTGAGCTTATGGTGAGATTTTCTTGGCAAGATTTGTTCAAAGGGGGTTTGCTATTGCCTTCCTCTGAGGTGGAGAGAGAGAGATTTGCCCAAGGGATTTTGTGACTGAGCAGGGACTGGAATCGTGGTCTCTCAGAGTTCATGCCCAACATGCAAACCATTATTCCACCTTATATGTCACTTCTTTTTATGCTCTTTGATTGCTTTCTGCTGTCAACTTGAAGGGATTCTTCAACTAATTTTTTTCCTAATACATTGAACTCCCTTAATTTTTCATTGCGATGAGTGTTATATGTGTGCGTGCTGTACACTGTGCCTTCATATTGATATGTGATGTTGCCTCAGTTGTATTTTAGTCAGTATTCTCTACAATCATTGTTTTCTGCTTAAAACAAAGCAAAACACAAACTGATTGAAAATTTGATTTGAATTTAAATAGTCAAATCAGAGATCCTTATTTGTGGGTGTATGTGTGTATACACACACACCAATCTCATTTGGTTACATAATTAGATTTTATTCCTTATCATTCATCAGTTAAACTAGACATATGAAACATTGCTCATGAGTGGAGCAATTACTGTAATTCCACATGACTGGATTTGAGAGCAGTGCAATTAGAAAGGTCTCAGCTAGCCAAGATTCCTCTAAAAAAAAAAAGGCAAACCTCATCCTCTGCTGAGAAATTTAAGTTCCTGCCACCTGAATGCATTCTGAGTATTTTGAGTGATTTTCATCAGGCCTATTAATGAAAATCAATACCAAGATGTTTACGTCAAATTTTATATTAGTCTGTAAGGAAGAGAAGAAGCAAAAAATATGCACATCTCTACATAAATTTTCTTGAACTGTCCACTTAAATTTTTTGAAGAAAAAGTCTGAATGATGATTTGATTGAGGAGTGAATGACAATTTCCTGCTGGACAGGAACATGTTGTTCCAAGAGACAAATTGATGTTTAGATATTCAGCAGGACGGTAATCAGGATTGGAAAAAAATCATTTGATTTTGCTTCAGAATAATCTGAAGGACATATATTTGAACATATGTCTACCCTCTGAAGGCTCCCTCACATAGTCAGGATCACAACGTGTAATCTCAGATTTTAAGTACTGATCCCCTTTTCCCATGAAGCAGGACTATTTAGTACTGTCCTTGCACAATTAAGGGCCTAGTTTGCCATACTCTTGTACAGCACAAAGTTGCTAAACATATAGAAACAACCATAAAGCCTCCCAAAGATGCTGGTTAGTCACATCTGCTTATTAAAGGTAAAGATAAAGGTTTCCCCTTGACATTAGGTCTAGTCGTGTCTGACTCGGGGTGGGGGCGCTTATCTCCATTTGTAAGCTGAAAAACCAGCCTTGTCTGTTGATGCATCCAAGGTCATGTGACCGGCATGACTGCATGGAGCGCCGTTACCTTCCTGTCAGAGCAGTACCTATTAATCTACTCACATTTGCATGTTTTTGAAATGCTAGGTTGTCAGAAGCTGGGCCTAACAGTGGGAGCTCACCCCGCTCTCCGGATTCAAACCTGCGACCTTTCGGTCAGTGAGTTCAACAGCTCAGCGGTTTAACCCACTGCACCGCAGGGGTTCCAATTGGTTTATTACTGACCCAAAAGTCAATAGCCACCCAGATCTCATATTATTTGTTCTTTTGAAGTATAAGCAACTCTGAAAATATGTAAAATATACTTGGGAATAGAGCCAGGAGAACTCTTCTACCTAATAAGAAAAAGTATCAAATTAGGTCACTTAAGCAGGTACTTTTGCAGTAGAACGTACCCGTTTTGGTTTTTCTAATTATGTGGGTTCAATATAGATTTAACAGGAAGGTATGTTTGTTTGTGTTAATATGCCAGCTGCTTTGGAAAGAGTGCATATTTATGCTTTAGTCCTCTGTAAATTTGTAGATAACTCTTTTTCTATTTCCATAACACTGTTGGTTGAATGCAATGGAAAAATGAACATAGTTGGCAAGTGTATATGCTGATTGGTAAAAATTAACACTTTTGTTTTGCAGGCAAATGCCAAATGTCCTCTTTGCAGGAAAGAGGTTGGATTAAAACATTTAGTAGAATGTCCTTTAGAGGAATCTGATAGCGGAAGAAAGACTGACCAAGGATGGGTATCTAGTTCAAAGGTAAACATCCAGTTTGAACACTTTGTTGTTGTTTACTGGTTTATCTAAAATATGTTTTTGAAATTAAAGTATCCAAATGTTATATTGCAAATAAAATAAACTAGCTAAATTATAGTTACAGTTTTCTAAGAAACCGTGGAGCAGGAAGGACTAAGAAAGAATGGTTAATCAGTATTGCAACAACTTCTGACTATGATTCAAGGCAGACTGCTGAATAAACACTCGTAAAGCATTCCAAACCTAGTAAACGAGCTTAGGTACATAACATAACATAACCAAGCTTCTAATCAAGATGGGGCAAAGGAGACTGGGCAGGCATTCAGCCTCCTAGTATTGTCACCTGTCCTTGGCCTGTAACCGAAGCATTTATTACTTTCTGTCTGCTCTGCAGCTACGACTGTTTTCTTGAGCTGCAGTCCTCTGTACCTCAAAGGGTTTCTTATAAGTAAAAGGAAAGTAATTGATTTAATGTGATTTCATGTGTTGTGTGCTTTCAAGTAACTTGTGACTATTGGAGGGTTTTCTTTGCAAGATTTGTTCAGAAGAGCTCTGTCATTGCCCTCTTTTGAGGCCGAGAGAGTGTGACTTGCCCAACGTCACTCAGTGGGCTTCATGGCTAAGTTAGGATTTGAACCCTTGTCCTCAGACCTGTCCAGTGCTCACAGCATTACACTACGTTTAGGCTGTTCTCTCATGAAATAATTCCTAGATGTTTTTCTTTTAGATGTCATTTTTTCAATAATTCACACATCTTGACTTATTTTGATAAATGAAAACAAATGACTATATTAATGATGCTGCCTCTTTAAAGTTGTATGTTCTTGAAATTTCTCTACACTTTGCTTCAAATTCAGATACAGGTTTAAGTAATATGTATTTCTGAAATACATATTACTTAAACCTGTAGTCACAATTCCCTCACTGCTGACACTCTAGATCAGGGGTACTCAAACTAAGGCCCGGAGGACGGATACGGCCCTCCAAGGTCATTTACCCGCCCCTTGCTCAGGGTCAACCTAAGTCTGAGACAACTTGAAAGCACACAACAACATCAACCATCCTATCTCATCAGCCAAAATCAGGCCCACACTTACCATTGAAATACTAATAAGTTTATATTTGTTAAAATTGTTCTTAATTTTAATTATTGTATTGTTTTCATGTGTTTTTTGCACTACAAATAAGATGTGCGGTGTGCATAGGAATTCATTCATGTTTTTTTATCAAATTATAATCCAGCCTCCAACAGTTTGAGGGACTGTGACTTGGCCCTCTGTTTAAAAAGTTTGAGGGCCCCTGCTCTAGATCTCCAAAATTATTTTCAAAATTTTTCATTGCTCTCCAAACTTTGTGCATTTTGACTGCAATCCTGGTTGTCTATTTCCCTTTAATCTGCCTGCAGGCAAGAATGTTTGGCATGTAGTGATCTAAATGAGAATGAATAATTGGCCTGTCCATTATACTGTGCTCTGGAAATGCACAAACTTCTTTTGTAACAGTAAAACTAAGGAGGGGAAAAGATTTGTGATTTATCAAACTAAATCTCTTTTATTTCAGGTTAATGCACTTATGCACGCCCTGATAGAATTGAGGAAGCAAAATCCCACAGTTAAGAGCTTAATTATTTCTCAATTCACAAAATTCCTGTCTCTAATAGAGATTCCACTAAAGTAAGTAGGCTTGTATGTGTTAATAAAAGAAGTGCTTCCTTCAATAACATTTGTTAATAAAGTACTGTAGTTGAAAAAATGTTAATGTAAATATGTAAATAAAGTAGATGAAAAATATAAGTACTGCTGTGATTAGGTTCCTGGGACATTATTTTTTGTAGCTTAAGAGAAGCAGATCTTCACTCTTAAGGATTTCCCCTCCAATACAACTAATGATGTGTTGTTTCCGTTTCAGAGAATCCGGATTTACCTTCACTCGGTTAGATGGTTCTATGACACGGAAAAAGAGAGTAGAGGCAATTCAGCATTTCCAGAGCAATGAAACAGGATCTCCAACTGTAATGTTGCTATCTCTCAAAGCAGGTGGTGTTGGTTTGAATCTAACAGCAGCTTCACGGGTCTTTTTAATGGATCCAGTAAGTATGTTTTATCTACTCAGCCACTTTGACCATCACCCAGACAGCATGTTATATAGAAATGCAAAAAATGAGGGGAAAATGTTTTAAGGCTGCTCACAGAAGCACAAAATTTTAAAAAATCTAGCATTGTTTCATTTGATAGGGAACCTATAATTAAGTTGCTGATTTCCAATGTATTTTAGATAATGTTTATGATGATGTGTTTTTAGCTATATTGTGCCCAGTCTTGAGTCATGAGTAGAGGCAGGTAAGAAATAAAAGTACTGTTGTTGTTGCTGTTGTTGTTATTATTGTCATCATCCATTACAGTGAAGATCTAAACTATTTATTTGTCGTATCAGGAGTGAACCAAGTGTACAGTTGTAATTTATATTAAAAAACAAAACATTTAAAAACTTGGCATTACTGTAAATGTCCATTGACCAGTAGCTGGCCACTTGGGGTGCCTCTGATATTGCTGTGAGAAGGTCCCATTGTGCATGTGGCAGAGTTCAGACTGCATTGCAATTGGTGGTCTGTGGTTTGCGCCTCTCCACACTTGCACGCTGTGGACTCCACCTTATGGCTCCGTTTCTTAAGGTTGGCTCTGCATCTTGTGGTGCTGGACCGCAGTCTGTTCAGCACCTTCCAAATTGCCCAGTCTTCTGTGTGCCTTGGAAGAGTCTCATTCAGTATTAGCCATGGCTTGAGGTTCCGGGTTTTCGCTTGCTGCTTTTGGACTCTCGCTTGCTGAGGTGTTCCTGCGAGTATCTCTGTGATCTTAGAAAACTATTTCTTGATCTAAGGCATTGGCATACTGGCTGATATCTGAACGGGATGGGCTTGTGTTGTCACTGTCTTGATCCTTTCATTATTGCCAACTACTTCCCGGTGGATGTCAGATGGTGCGATACCAGCTAAACAGTGTAATTTTTCCAGTGGTGTAGGGCGCAGACACCCTGTGATAATGAGGCATGTCTCATTAAGAGCCACATCTACTGTTTTAGTGTGGTGAATGTGTTCCACACTGGGCATGCGTACTCAGCAGCAGAGTAGCAAAGCGTAAGGGCAGATGTCTTCACTGTGTCTGGCTGTGCCAGTCAGCTTTCGTATGATATTGTTTCTAGCGCCCATCTAAACTATGATCCTTGTACATATGTATATACCCCTGTACATAAGCTTCACAATTTTAATGGGAGGGAATGCATCCCTTTGGAAGCTTCCCCCATAGCCTTTGATCAGGAATACCTCTGGCACTGGGAGGCAGTATTCATTCCTGACACTTCAAAAACTTCACTGGAGAAGTAATGGTATACAAAAAACCGTAAACTGCAGTGTTGTGTCTGTTATGTAACGCTAAGAGGTTTCTCTTTTTTAAAAAATCTTAATTCTCCCAAAAAGTGAATCCAACCATTGCTTCTATTTTTTAAAATGCAAGTCTTCTTCCACAGAAGTATAATTTAAGAATCTCACTTTGATAGCACTTGCTTTTGATATGGTTTAGTATAATACTTAATATTTCCTATAGGCCTGGAATCCTGCTGCAGAGGATCAGTGCTTTGACAGATGCCACAGACTTGGGCAGAAGCAGGATGTCATCATTACTAAGGTGAGGTGGTAGTCATTTGAAGTCCTGGAATCATGAGCATATCAGTTTCAAAGTCTAGCATACCTCTATATGTGTGTTGTGAGATAGAGCAGGCATAGGCAAACTTCAGCCCTCTATATATTTTGGACTTCAGCTCCCAAAATTCAAATTGTGGGAGTTCAAGTCCAAGACACCTGGAGGGCCGAAGTTTGCCCATGCCTGATACTGTGTTTGAAAAAGTCTGCTAGACTGTCAATTTCCCAGCAAGCATGATAGATAGGAAATTTCTTAACTCTTCCATACAATAAGAAAGTCAAGTTCAGAACGGAGTATGATCAGGTTTTTTGATTTTGAATTTAGGTGCAAACATTTGGTCTCTGGCCAGAACATACATGTCGCAGCTAGACTTTTTATGTACCAAACTCTTTCTGACAGATTGGAAAAAAACAAGATATGGACTAAATCCTGCTCACCTTCATAAAGTTGACTTGCTGAATTTTAACATTTTCAATAAAGGGATCCATAGGTAGGATTATAGACCTCAAAGTTAGTTTCTATATATTCCATACATGTGTATAGTTCCGTGCTAGACTGGAAGTTGATTTAAGAGAAAGACTTGTCAGTTACAAGGATAAATGGTTTTCCAGAAAGTAAAGCAGGTGATAGCAATATTCTCTTTTGCTTTTAAACTCCTGGATTTGTCTCCCTGTTGTACCGTATATATTCAAGTATAAGCTGACCCGGATTCTCACTGAAGTATAAATGGATGAGATTTTTTTCAGCCCTAAAACAGGGCTGAAAAACTCAGCTTATACTTGAGGACATACAGTAATTTTTCTTCACAGATTACAGTATTTTAATTTTTTAGTAATCTTTAAGTATTATATTTGATTGTAGTTTAACTTTCTTCCTTTAGTTCATTGTGAAGAACTCTGTGGAAGAAAATATGCTGAAAATTCAACATAAGAAGCGAGAACTTGCAGCCAGAGCCCTGGGAACCAAAAAAAATTCTAGTGAAACAAAAATTAATGACATCAAGACTTTGATGGATTTGTAATTTGAGGTATTCGGACCAAGATTACACTTGCTGTTATGCTGCTTGTTCAGATAACATATCTGTACTGTAGATCTTAAAAGCATGAGTCAAGCAGTTCTTTATATATTAAGCTTTCCAACTGAAGTAGAACCTCTCACCACATTTTCATAAATAATGTTTAATGGTTGAGTTCCATTGGGCTGTTCTTCCAAAACAAAGCTCTAGGAGGAAGAGGAGCTGTTTCTAAACCAGCATCATATATAATCTGTGTTCTGTGCTTTCTTTCAACTGATCCTGTGTGAAAATAAGTTGGATAACCTTTCTTTTTGCACTCATCTGTATTGCTGGTTTTGTATGAGCAAAACATACTTTTAAAAAAAAAAAATTTTTTTTTTCTCAATTTAAAAGCATAGTATTTTATCCACTGGCATTTTATTTCATTGCAGGCTACTATATTTTTGATTATTGAAACAGTCTCTGTATTGGGATTTAGTATTGTATCATGCTAGAATTGAGAGGGACCATAGAATGCAGGCAGAGAACATTCAGGAGTATGTTGCCATTTCCTTTCTGTGTTGAGTGAGAATATCTAAAGAAGCACCCCAAAGCCAAGATCTTGTTGGCTGGCACAGAAGCAGGAACAAAAACATGTTGGAAAAACCACAGCCCTTTTCAAGGAGTGTGCTTAGCAACATCTTTGGAAACTTTGGTGTTTAGGAGCCAGCAGCTTTCTCTTCCTTGTGCTCACAACAGAACTGAACCACTGTCATTACAGTAGCATAATAGACTCCTGTACAGCAGCAGGTTTCGTCTTCAGATATCTTCATTCAACTTGGTAGTAAATCAGTGAAGATTTTCTTAGTGAGGCTGCTTTCCAAGATTCATGCCCAAATAAGTTACCTTTCAGGAAAAAGCTCAGTTTACTTGATTTCTAACAAATATTTGTTTATATCAATAGTTCATTATGCTGCTTTGAAGCTATAGCTATGCCAATTACTACAAAACTCAGTCGTTTCTGCCAGTTTTATGTTTGTGTAAATAAAATGGCTTTTCTGGAGACTTATGCGGTAAATGAGATGTTCTTTGTAAAAAAAAAACATGCTACAGTGTGCATAAAGTAAAGGTAAAGGTTTCCCCTTGACATTAAGTCTTGTGTCCGAATCTGGAGGTGGTGCTCATCTCCATTTCTAAGCCAAAGAGCCAGCATTGTCCATAGACGCCTCCAAGGTCATGTGACTGCATGGAGCACTGTTACCTTCCTGCCGAAGCGGTACCTATTGATCTACTCACAATTGCATGTTTTCGAATTGCTAGATTGGCAAAAGCTGGGCCTAACAGCAGAGGTTCACCTTACTCCCCGGATTTGAACTGCCAACCTTTTTGTCAGCAAGTTCAGCGGTTTAGCCCACTGTACCATCAGAGGACCCTCAATAGAAGCTAGAAGTATTCAAAATTATCACTTTAGAGGATGGAAGTTCAGCAGTCAGACATTTAAGAGGGTAGGCAATATGCTAAGAGCTAATGTTATGTAGGAATATTCTGATGTCAGAAATTCTGGATTGTATCAGATTTTTAACAGAAGGTTAGCACTGTTTTTATTGGCTGTTGAAGAAAAATTAACTCCTACTGTACATAACATGTTACTAGAATTCAAAAGTGTGGCTGTATTAGTCTGGATCAGTATGCAGAGATACGTTTGTCTTACAGTTACAATTTTACTAGACACATCATAGGTTTTAGGAGAATGTAAATTTACACCCCCAAATACTGTAGAATGCCACATCCCTGATGCAGCTTACCAATGTGAGGTAGCAGTTTTAGGGTAGAGGACACATACATCATATTACTGTTTAACAAAACTTAAGTGCCATATCCTATTTAGATTTTACCATGATTTCTTTATTTTTGTATTTGACTGCTGTGTTACAGGTAACTTCAAAAGGTTTTGATGTTTTAACTAGTCCCAGAAATACACAACTGAATGAAAGTATTTGCCATGCTGTGGATAGTGTGCATAGATGTCTGGTCAGGATTTTCAATATGGCTGGAATTGACAGAAAGGCAATATCAGTACGATGTTGCCACCCTTTCATGCCCTTTCTTTCTGTAAGGCCCCTTTCACTGTAGCTGCCTCACTTTCTAGCCATCATTATAACATAGCAAGCCAAACACAGGTTGGGGGTGAAGGGAAGGAGATAAAGCACAGTCCTATAGGTCTAAGGAGTAAGATTCAAGCCAGTTGTGTGCCCTGTTCCCAATGAGTTCTCTACAGGTATGTTCATTAGTTTTTGTGGAAGAGGAAAAGATCTGGCTGTTGGACACAAAATTGGCACAAGGATTCATACTTAAAACAGATTTTGTTCAGTTCTTATCTCCAGTACTGCCAACAGCCTTCAGCTCAGCAGTGGCAAAGCTGCTAGCAAGTTTAATCGACCCTATCTGACTTTTCTAGTTGCTATAGCTCTGAAAAGTCCTTGTATTGCTGACATCTGCAGAGCAGATACAAGTGCTTCTTTCTACTGGAGGTAGGTATCCAGTTTCTTCTGGATGTTGTCAAAGCTGTCTGCTCCCATATAGTCGGCCTGGCCCTGCTCCCATCTTTCTTTGCGCTCCTCTGAGGACATGGGGGGCGGCGAGGGTGGCACGTGTGTCAGCGCTGTAGATGAAATTGACAGGTGGGACACTGACTCTGCTACCTCCTCCTAAAATGAAAGCACAAGTGAGTGGGGATGGTACCACAACGTCATTACAAAAAAAGGGGAGGCATGAAGCAACAGTGCAGAGGGGAGGAAAACCAACAAGAATTTCCCATGCAAAGCAGCAAGCGCCATTTACAGAATTTAAGGAACTGGACAAATAAAGAGCATAGTCTAAGAGTCAACGAGAAAGCAAGCAGGTAGTTAGCAACAGGTTTAAGTTCTTCATACCTCTCTACAGAAGCCACAAGAGAAAGCCAGTGTATAGACCAAGCCCGACAGCTGAAAATAGTTTATTAGAAAGTTGAAATAGGGACAACAGAAAGCACAGCTCAAGAACAGGTCAGTCTTTGCTCTCAGAAAGGTCTAAGAACTTAATTATTGTATTTCTGTATACCAAACCAGTGATCAAAGGCTGCATTGCATGCATTAGTGAATTACATGCACAAAAAGCCAAAGTCGGATCCATTTGGCTAGTTAGATCCCTGGAAAGAATTACAAAAGCAAGAGAGTTGTGGTTCATTCAGTGGTTCAATGTTTTAGGCATAGGAGATGAATTGTTTACAGATGTGAACAGTGCAAGTTTTCTTAGTATTCTCTTTGCCTTCTGCATCTTTCCAAACGTGGTTTAAACACATGTTCAATGTAGTGCCAACATGGACATCTTTGGAGGCCTGAGCCCATATCTAGTGTAGTTCTGAATTCTGCCGAAACCTGACAGTTTCGTGCCAATAAACTGATTTCACTGAGCACCAGTATACTCATCTCTTGACTAGGGGCAGATAACCTAGTAGAATTGATGGTATACAAAATCTAGTTTTAACTACTTGTGACACAACGAAGTTCAGTACTGCACCTAATTTGCTAACAAGTTAAATAGCAAGCAGTTTTTGGTAAGCCAGCTACATATAAATCTGCAAAGATCCATGCCAAATAAAAACATTCCAATTAACCTGATCTTACAGATACTAATCTTTTTGTAATGCTGAAGAATGAAAATAGGATTTCAGTCATTCTACCCATCATTTCATTTTCAGGTACACACCAATAGGGGGATGTAAACACAACTAGCTTTTGAATATGGTGTGAATACTTTTTTAAGTACATCAATTCTTGCTTTAAGAAAAAGCATTGAAAGTACAGCTCACACTCTACATAACAGAAATGCCAGTTAGGTCCACAGTGATGAGCACCTAGTGTTATTACATCTAATGTGCTAAATTGGTCTGAGTGGATGATTCATAATACATCTTTTCAATTTTATATAAATGGAGGACGCAAGGAGAGGATAATTTATAAGGCAGCATGGGCTGATGGATACACTGAATTTTTCCCTCCATGTATTGATTTCATTTTGGTGTGTTCAACTAATGCATTTCAGTTCTGGGAAATGTAATAGGAGAAATAGAGTTGGATAACTTTTTCAGGGGATTTAATAATTGCTTCAGGTGGATCTTTGTGTTCCTACTTTCCTACTGTGTTTAGGATTACAAAGCAAACACAACTGGACCAAAATGGGATTCAAAGGAGCAAGTTGTGAATTTCATTTAAGGCCCTTGCCTCCATATATTTTGATTACCATCCATGTTATACTTAAAACAATATCTTCTAACCCTCTCATCCACTTTCCCTTTAAGAATACTTCTAAATTCATACCTGTAAATCTTCTCAGAGTTAGTGTTTAGTCTACCCCTTAGTAGAGTTTCATAGAACAATTAGTGCTTCGTACTCTAATTGCAGACTAATAATAGATCTGACCCAATGTGCTGTGTAATGTGGCAGGATGCAAACCTACTTTGGTTGCAGGCATTACTAGCCAGCTCATTTACTAATCTTGCTACTGCAGGATTGCAAGCTGATTTTTTAAGGTAACCATGCTAGTTTCAAACTAAGTCACTCTAATGTATTGATAACCAAGTACAGGCTTTTTTTTTTTTTTGGTGTGCAAGGGACATAACCCTCTTCAAATGTACATCTCCAGTCAAGTTTGAAATTCATTTAAAAAACCTACCGCCTTTACACCAGTCGCTGTGTCTTTAATGGCACCATGCTGCTGTAATAATGGCAAAATATCTGTGATAAAGGTATCCCACCACATATTGAGGAACTCTGGGTGAACTACTGTGGGGCCTTGAGCATCTTCTTTGACACTTTTGGCTTTGGAGTCATAAGCGTAGTTCCATGGCTTAAGTTTCCCCAGAAAGTGTACCACTTTTGCATTTGTTCCAAACCTGCCAGAAAAAAAGGAGAGGTACGCTTGATGGGTGAGTACAGAATATTGTGTTCAGTCATGACTGCAAATTGGCATGCTACATTCAAAAGGATAACTTAAAGTGACATATAAAATAGGGCCATCATACAGCTATGTTTCTCTTGCATAAGTTGAGATTTAGTAAATTTCAGAGAGGAGACTTCTTCAGAAATTTTCTAGGTCCTCTAAGGTGATTGTATGATAACTTCCAGTAGAAGTAATCAATTTCAATAGGGTTTGCTTTCCCCCACATTTTTCTGTTTTCATGTGGATATGGAGGCCATATCATACTGTTATGAGCCTGCAGCATTCACATTTTGCTCAGAATGCAAAGAGGACATGAGGGAGTCAACAGTATGTCTAATTTTGATGAAAGTAATGGTAGAAAAATGACTATAATTGGTCATTTCCTTTCCCAATGATACCATCACCAGCTATCTTAGCTCAGTGCGGAGTCCAGGATTAGACATAGTGGCAACTCTATTTAGAAGAATTTAGAATAAAAAATCAATTCATAATACATGAAAATTGTTAGCATTCAAAAAGTCATTATTTTAACTGTTTTGACATCAGTACTGCTGTTTACAGTTTGGCCATGTCTTACAGCAGTTGTCACCATAGGTTATTGGGCGTTGTTCTGAGTTTTAAATTGTTGTTATAAGCTATTGGTTTTACTTTTTTGTATTGTACTGGTTGTTTATTTTATGTGTTGTTTTTAGGCACTTTATGTCATATGTAAGCTGCCCTGAGTCCCTTTGGGGAGATGGAGATCAGAAACAAAACTAAAGAAGTTGTCATTGTTATTCTGTTTCATTAATAAGGGAATGTAACAGGCCGTCCAATTTGTCATTAAAAAAAAAAACAGTTACCTGATGTGCTAATTAATGCAACAAATTAATACTGTCAATAACTTATATAATTAGATTCATGCTCAAATTTAAATAATTAAGCAAATGCTTTAACATAAACCATTGCCAATAAGGGTGACGCTTCTGCAATTAGTGTTTGCCTGTAACACATTATTTTAGCATATAAGTTATTTTGACATTTGTTGCAAAGTATCAAGAATTATAACTAAGTCTCATCATGTATACATTGATGCACAAAAAGATTATAGAGAGCCTGAAATACCTTCAGGTTTGTTTTTTTTTTACTTTTCATTATCTATAAGTAATTTATTCTTTGCTTGTAACATTTTGCAACTGCTATCACTTTTAGGGTTCAGCATCCTGGAAGATATCTGAATACTCAATAAAGTATAAAGCTTCATTTAGTTTGAGAACTTTATCTCCAATAGGAAGTTAAGCCTGCACTTATATAAACTTCCTATCAAGTGACTAATTAACTATATAAATATGTAGACTTCACATTAACTTCCTCCTTAATTTGTGTACTACTTACAATTTGGACAAGCATTGAATGTACTAATGTGGTATCAAGTCATAAAAGTGTATTATTCTAGTTCACTGGCTATCTGATAAGAATAATAGAGGTGAAAGTAGCACAGAGGGAAAAGCATTTCTGTAAGGCCTACCAATATTATTTGGAAATAAGCTGCTGAGTTGTTTTGATATGTGTGTACAAGAATATGTTGAATGTATCTTCTAAATAACATACATTCTGAGCTTGTGACACAACAATTTCATTTGATTGATTTACAGCTGATGACCATTAAGTAACAGTCTAAATCCAACTGGTAGCCCCAACTAGAGTAAACACAATCAATCAACAGAAACCTGTCAGTCAGCACTCAAGTGTGATTGATTCAATAGGTCTACTCCAGCTGGAAAATGCAACTGGATCAAGGTTTAGTAGTTACTTGAATCTCTTTGGGATTTTGACATCACGACTAAAAGGACTTTTATTTGGAGACTGAGAGTCACACCTGTTTTTGGTAAATCTTTTTTCCACTTTAAAAAGCCAGCAGACATTAGATGGGATCATAACAGGGTTTAAAATGTAGTTCATTCCATGAATTGTAGCTGTTTGGCACAGCCTGAGTCCTTTGCCCTCAGGATACCTTGTATTCAGCTTCTGTCCTGAAGGCAACAGTTCCTAGTGATTCAGGCTTTCTAATTTTACCTTAGAAAAAGGGCTTTTTCAGAGAGCCAGAGTTATCCGAAATCAGTCCAAAAAGTAAGAAGGTGAAATACATAATCTCGTACCATGCAATCAAAAGTTGAAAAAACATTTAACTATCAAAAATGTACTTCACAATACCATTCATTGAGCCAGATATTCTCTCTCTGTCTCTACCAGCCGCTCAGTTTGTGTGAACTTCCAAAAATAAATGCTCTAATTTTAACTTGACAGTACCTCATATGATGTCCAGATCATAAGACATCGTTTGAACCTGAGCCACTGAAAACACTGCTTACGTTAGCTGCTCCATTAAACTCTACTTACTTATGTTGCCTAGAAACTAGCTCATACAATAGTTCGTTTACTCCTGGACATATGAATAGTGTGGTTCAAGAGATTTACTTTATTGTAAATCATTTGGGATAATGCTAAGTAAATTAAAGGCTAGTCACTAGAGTTGGGTTTCTGGAGGAGACGCTTAAATTAAGATGTATTAGAAAAGAGAAGCAGACTCCATGCAGCTCAGGGTATTAGAACAATACATTCCATAATCTTTCATTATTGTCTGTGCTGACTAGTGCTGGTGGAAATGTGCTTTTCCCTCTTTTTGGCCTACAGCAGCCCACCTTGCAATGCGTATTTTCAATAGAGACCACAGATGGGAACTTTTCCTAGAGCAGGCATGCATAACTTGACAATTGTGAATGTTTCTTTAAAATACTTCTGTGGAGCACTCCTTCCTCCATGCTTAATTATGATAGGCTGCAGCCTGTCACAATACAGTCAGAATTCTTTACTCATCATTTACTACTATGAGATCAGAATTGATTACTCTAGGACAGGCCTGCACCCGATGTAACCTGTGGTCTGGATGTGGCCCGCAAAGGGTGTTCAACTGGCTCACAGGTTGCATATTGTGCAGGCCTATCCTAGAATAATCAGCTATCATCTCACAGAGATAAATGATGAGTAAAGAATATATTATGATCCAGTGTCTCATAGTCAGGAGGATGTTAGGAATGCAACTTTAAGAATACTGTTCCTGGGCACTGTTTTCTTTAAGCATTATGTTAGTATTTGGGCATCAGGACAGTTAAATCATGTCTGGTACTTTATGCACTGAACGTGAAAAGAAGTGCTGTACCAATATTATACCTTCTTCCTGCACTAAGATGATGACATGACACCAAGCACAGTTGGAACCTCAAGAGGACACTGTTTTTGACAATATGATCAATATGTTTTAACAATATGATCAAGGGAAAAAATAGTGTCATGGACAACTCCTACATTATGAGAATTTCAGCTGTCCATGCCATGTAACTAAAGTCACACTCCCACTCCGAGGAAGAAAACAAGGACAATTCCTTAACGGGAACATGTTGTATTTGTTTCAGATCTTGCTAGTCTGTTCAGTTGCCAAAAGATATGGGAGTGGAAAAATGCCTCATACAGCCTATCAGCCAAAGCTTGATCTGATCAACTCTTTTTAAATACTTCATTCTGACGAAATGGATGTCTCTATAGGCTATAAGCACATTTCCATCAGCACTAGTCAGCACAGACAATAATGAAAGATTATGGAATGTATTGTTCTAATACCCTGAGCTGCATGGAGTCTGTTTCAGTTTTCTAATACATCTTAATTTAAGTGTCTCATTCAGAAACCCAACATAGCTTAATTGTAGGAATTGCACAAATATGCATTGCAATGGTCAGCTGCTGTAGGCCAAAAAGAGGGAGAAACAACTTCCTCTTATGGGGTAGTCTCACATCAGCATCCCAGTCAAGCTCTTTTTAAATAATAATGTAAGCTAAACCAGCTCTTGCTCAATGGAACCATGCTTGAATGGGTAAATCACGCTTAATTCATTTATATCATATTCACTTTGGAAGCAGACTTCACCCAGTAAGAACACAAAACCACACACATATTTCATAGATAGTAAATCTTGCAAAGTTGGGTTTTTTTCTGCAACTTAGTCACTTACGCTTTAAATGCTGGAAGATAGGAGTATATAGAAATACTGCTTAAATTATAAATAAATGGCAGGTGTTTGCTAATGTCTGCTGTTGCCCAATTGCTGAAGAAGGTGTTTAATAAGCCCTGGTCCCCACCTGAAAGAAAGAGACACAGTAAGGTTAATAGGAGCCATGCGAGATCCACAACTACTGTCCATTTCCCTTTTCTAACCAAGTGCTCTGTCACCCAAAGGACTAAATCTCTGCAAGAACAAGTGATTCACAGATTAATATTTCTGCCTCAAAAGTGTTGTCATTTTATTTAATGCAGTTGACAACTTGAAGGTAAACAATAACAGCTACTCCAGTGACCTGAGATGAGGTTATGCCATCTGTCATGTTAGATGGTTTCAGGAATGCACTGATTGTTTTGTAATGTAGAGTAATATGTGTCCAGTCAGACACTAAGCACTCTCATTATGAAGCATATTCTATTATTCAGCTCAGCTTAGCTGACTGTAAAGCACACCAAGACATTGATACTATCATCAAAAGTAACCTAGCAACCCAAATAAGAACCTCTTGTTCTAGACTTAGGATTAGAATTTAGGATTGCCAACATTTAAGGATGTATTTCATGTGTTACTGTGACCTCATAATGTTTGTGGATAGAGCGAGGGATATGAAAACCACAGACCAAAGTAGATCTTAGCAGAACAGTCTAGGGTGGGTCAGTAGGACAGAAGGATGCAATCCTATGGTTTTGCAAGCAACCAAAGAAAAGATACTCACATACTGCTAAAGAGGAAGCTCCAAAAAGAACAGGCTAGGATTTTGGTGGGTAGTATGAGGTCAAGAGAAAAGCTAGAGGTGGATGTTTCAGCTGTGATTTTTTTAAAAAAATAACTTTATTATTTCCAGCATTTTTACCCCATCCTTCTCAACCCCCAAAGGGGGACTCAGGACGGCTTACATTTGGCACAATTTGATGCCTTTAAATATAACAAAGCAATATAACAACAAATAAAATAATAAATAGAACATTAATTAAAACAATAAAGAGTATTAACTGCCGTATCACCATTCCAGGCAAATTCCATATCCAAAGCGCTATTTATGCCTGCTGTCCAAAAGCCTGGTCCCAGAACCACGACTTCAATTTCTTCCTAAAAGACAGGAGGGATGCAGCCAATCTTACGTCATTGGGAAGCGAGTTCCACTGGCAGTGGGCTACAGCCGAGAAGGCCCTGTCTCTCGTCCCCGCCAGACGTATTTGCGATGCTAATAACTAATAGCTAATAACTCGCAGTGGCACTGACGATTATTCCAATCCATTTTAGATTAAGATAACCAAATGAGACATTATGTCCTAAAATGCATTTTAAATTACAAATAGTGGAATTGTGCTTTGTGATTGCTGTTAACTTTTAATATTTACTTAGAAGTAGCACAGCAAAGAATTTAGGATACATTACTGTGTGTACTCAACTGATTAAATCTGATATTTCATAATACATTAATTGCAAGCCTTCTAAAAAGAACTTAGATTTCTGAACTCTATAATAGGAAGCAGACCCCAATGACCAATGTTTCAGGTTAAGTGTCATTTTATGTGGCTAGAAAAAGTTATTCTAAGAGATTCATAACATTTCCTTTTCACAAGAGTATGATCTAGACTAGTATTCTTTTCAAAACTCCTCAAAAAGCAATGCCAACCACTCATATACACTGGAATTTTCTATTCAAAACAATTAAATCTTTCTGAAGTTCCAATTTACGTATTGCGTTAATAGTCAAGATTCATAACTAGCTATTGGCAACGTCTTCATAAAGCAAGATTAGAAAAACAGACCCAGAGATGGCACATGTTTCTAACAAAACAGCAGCTCCATTTCAGTTTCTAATTCTCACAGCTGAAAGCAGCGTTGTTCAAGATTCTCTCTGACGTACCCTAGCTAAGTGCCAGAATACACTCCTTAATACTGTTTCCACTTCCAATGAAATCCAACACTGATTGCGGGGTGGATGGAATCAAAACAAGATTGTTACCTTAATACAAAATAAGTTTAGAAGGAATAAAATATCAGAAAGAACACAAAATGTCTTGTGCTTTGTTTTAGACGAACACCATGATATCTCTTTTCTTCTTACTGCAAGACTTTAAATATCTATGCTACTCTTATTAGTGCCATTGCTCAAGTTACAGCAGAGGTAGTCAAGCCATTTCAAATAACTCTTACTGTTTGACATGAGCACTTTGTTTCTGAGTAAGTTTATTTGACACTTTTAATGTAGAATACAAAATAAAGAGGGAATAAGCACAGCTAAGTTGAGGACAAGAAGAACTGACTCTAACATAAATACTCCTGGCTTCCACTGACTAATAGCAAGTGAATCCCAAAGTTAGAAGGGGACTTTATTAAGCAAGTTTTGTCTGTCTGAATAGAGTCTTGGAATGTTTTCCCAAGCTTGAGACTAGCTGCCATTGCCATAGTAATCCATTCACTATAGTGTCATTATCTACCCTGATTGTACATTTTGGAGCCAACAGAAGCTAACAATGTTTTTATGCTTCAGGAAGTTTTGCTTATATGTAGTGTAAAGAAAAAGAATGAAAGAGGCAGATGGAGGCAAAGACCATATCAGGGTTGATCCAGTTGGACTGCTATTCTGCACATACAAGCTCAACTTTCTTATGGGAAAGAACAGCAAATGCTTGGCTTCTACTCCCAGTGTTACTCTTTGAGGCTGTATTTTGTATATATTTTAAGTTGCTCTGAGATCACTGACGGCAGCTGGCAACTCCCATGTTAGTGGAGTGATGTGTCCATTCTGGGCTTTAGTTTTGTTTAAAGGAACATCTTGAATTTGTTTTAGGGATAATTTTTTACACCTTAATGTATTCCAGAGTTGATTCACCACATCTGTAATATGAAAACCACTATTGTCTAGCCAAAAGAGGCAAATAAATTTACCAAACAGTTTTTATTTAGACAGAGTTCTCATTTGGACTATTCAGTATAGCAGCACAATTTATCTGACAAGTATCCTATCCTCTCTTTCCAATAAGAGAAATGCAGTTTTATATTAGCTTTAACTGCTATGGCTTAGTGTTGTGGAATCATGGGAGTTGGAGAGGTACCAGCACTCTGATAGATAAGGCTAAAGACCTTGTAAAACTAAAACTCCTCTGATTCCAAAGCATTAATACATGGCCGCTCAAGTGATGTCAAACTGCATTGATTCTACAGTTTTGATGTACCGTAAGATAAGCAGTGGAATTTATCTGTGTCTGTAACTTAGCATTCCTTAAAAAATACTGTGACATTCATAAAGTCACCGTAAGTTGACAGGTGACATACACAATTAAAAAATAGTGCAGGAGGAGGAACAAGCTCAAGAAGTACCATCTCATGAGGCCTGTTTATGGATCCTTGACCCAATACCCTATAGCAGTGGTTCTCAACCACTGATGTTTTGGCCTTCAACTCCCAGAAATCCTAACAGCTGGTAAACTGGCTAGAACTTCTGGGAGTCGTAAGCCAAACACCTGGGGACCCACATGTTGAGAACCACTGCCCTATAGGCTCATTTAGAAAAAAACTAACAGGCCTGGCATGTGGTCCTCCTTTGGCCAAATGGCAAATCTATATGAGAGGGACTTGTAAAATCATATAGCAAAATACAACAAAATCCTAATTCCACAACCAAACACACCATACAAGCTTTGGAAGCTCCTCTGGCTTCATCATCAAATAAAAAAATATTTTGAAAATCATCCAGGGTTTTCTTTGCAACATTTATTTAGAGAGCAACATTTGTTGTTACCTTCTTCAAAGGCTGAGAGGATGTGGTTTGCAAAAGTCACCCTGGCTAAGCAGGGATCTGAACCCTGGTTTCTAGTCCAACACTAACAACCATCAAATCATTTCCAAGTATTGTTATGGAGAATGACACTATAGTGTGTGTGTTCAGAAACAAAGAGAAAAGAGTTTTAGTCCAATACTTATCCCACTACACCATGCTGGCTCATAGGTGCCATATATGAGTATATGTACATGCACAATTTCACTTTTCTGGCTGCTGTGCAACAGATGTATTCAGATTTTAATTGCTTAAGAAGAATTGTATAAGTATAGCTATGAAATATCCAATACATCTCAATTAATTGAATGCATTCATTATAGGTGGACTAACCAAAAGGATTTCTGACAATTGTATCAATCTGTGTCAACCATAATCTGTCACCATAACCCATAATCTATGACTGAAATTTGGTGGAGAGAAATAGCACAGTTGCTACCTTGAACTCCTTGAAAGAAATACAGGAATAGATTTTTACTTATACAACATGACAAGTGATGTACATATATGACCCTTTTAGACAAAACAGCTGAGCCTTGTGGAAGCATTAATTCAGTGACATGGTCCTCCAAGTCTTTAATAATAATAATAATAATAATAATAATAATAATAACAATAACAACAACAACAATCATCATCTTTATTTATGCCCCGCCAACATCTCAATAAATAAATAAATCTCCCCAAAGGGGACTCAGGGCAGCTAATATGAGGCCAGTCTGAAGAGACCACACAGCAAAATGAAACACAAAAACAACAAAAAATACATCACAATAAAATACATAAATTAACAAGATAAAATAAACTGCAAAATAACATAATAAAAGTTGAACACAATAGGCGGGCCAAATGCACGAGATAAAATGATAAAACCCTGGATGAGATAGGACTAAAAAGTGAATCTGTGCAGGAGGGGCGCAAAGAGGACAAACAGTGAGGTTAGGCCTTCATTAAGGTCTTTGGGATTCCCACTCCCAGAAGCCCTCACCAGTTTGTCCAATAGTCAGGGGATGAGGTCCAAAACACCAGTAGGGTCACAGGCTGTGCACCACTGTATTAAAACATTTCTAAGTGCACTTTGTCCAAGAGAATCCAATGGCACTACTCTTAATATGTTGATGAAGCACTTTTTTGTGTCAGAAGCAACTTGAGAAACTGCAAGTCACTTCTGGTGTGAGAGAATTGGCCATCTGCAAGGACGTTGTCCACGGGACACCTGGATGATTGACGTTTTAGCATCCTGTGGGAGCCTTCTCTTATGTCCCTGCAAGAGAAACTAGAGCTCGACAGACAGGAGCTTACCCACTCCCCAGATTCGAACCGCCAACCTGTCAGTCAACCAGTACTGCCACCACAAGGATTTAGCCCACTGCGCCACTGGGGGCTCCTGATAGAGCACTAAGCGGCAAGCCTTCAAAAGATAGGATAAGTTTGAAATGACACCCTTCCCCAGCAACCTACACTTTCACACAGCATTGCTGTACACTTTTGGATGAAGATATAACCAAAAGTGCTCAACTCCAATTGGTAAGAGAGCTGCATTTTGTCAGATCAAGTAAAGTATGGCTGCCTTAATTCAGAACTTCATGAGCAGGTAGTTGCTATACGACTAATGTAGAATTCTTCAAATTGTGGCAATCCATTTCTATCTATTTTATTTATTTGCATATATTTAGGTCTATGTTCAGTACACGTAATCCATTTTGAAAAGAAAACAGTCTTAGTGTTACAAGAAGAATATCTTCACTGTACTACCATAGTCCCTTTCAGTCAGTTAAAAGCTCTTAGCTAGTTACAGAACAGCTCAATGAAGCTTTAAGAGCTTCTCTTTTTGAAGTTATTCCAGTCAAATAAATGCAACCATCTAACTGACAGAGTACCAAATTCCTTTTTACCGAACTTGGTGTTACTCCACTTCAGCCAATTTAAGTAAAGCTTATTAATATTTCATATATTCAGGTTCAATGAAATAAAACCCCAATCTATAGAAAAATTCCACAAGTAAAGAATCCTATTAAATGTTTCCGGCATATTGATTTTTAGTCATATAATGCAAACTCAGTGCAGCATTTTAGAAGAGATCTTACCATCTGCTCTCAGAATACAGCACACTTAGAAACATACCATCAAAGCTGCCTTTCTCTGTAGCAAGCTGCAACAGCTGATTGAATGTTTCAACAGAAGGCCGATATACAAAAACTCCCGAATTGAAACAGTCAGGCCAGCCTGGATCAGGTGCAGCAGAAAGTTCTTCTCTTTCGAAAAGCTCATCTATATTTGACAAAACCTGGTACACAGGAACATTGAACAGGAGGACAAGTTTAATATTCATCTCTGAACACTATGATACATGTATTGTCGAAGGCCGGAATCACTGGGTAGTTGTAAGTTTTTTGGGCTGTATGGCCATGTTCCGAAACATCCTCTTCTGACATTTCACCTGCATCTATGACAGGAATCCCCAGAGGTTGTGAGGTCTGTTGTAAATTAGGAAAATGGGGTTGATTTATCTGTGGGATGTCCAGGGTGGGAGAAAGAACTCTTGTCTGTTGGAGGTAGGTGTGAACGGAATGACAACTACCATGTCAAACTACACTGAGAAGCCACTGAAATCCACAATCTGAGGACCTCACAACCTCTGAGGATGCCTGCCATAGATGCAGACAAAACGTCAGGAGAGGATGCTTCTGGAACATAGCCATACAGCCTGGAAAACTTACAACAACCCACTATGATGCAAGTTTCTACTTCCTTTAAACACTTTGTACCCAAGTTGTTTTTCACTCAATTTAAGATGAGCACTCATTTCACTCTGTATGAAATATGGGAAACTTTCTCTATACATCCATCTAGTATGTGGCTACATTCCCAGTGTCATGGGTTTTCAACCAAAGTGCCAAGTGGACTTTTTCCACTTGAAATATCATGCCCTGCTCTCCTTCACTTTCTTTACATAGCAGAATAAAGGAGCAAAGTCCCTACTGAAGACTGCTGAATCCTGACCTGTTTGGACTTAGATAGTATCTGCAAGCACCAGCTAAAAATGTAGAAAAGCACTCTTTGTTATTTCTAATCAGCAACTTTACACTGTGAGTTCCCAGTCCTCTTTCCAGATGAAAATAATCCAGTTAATATCTGCTTTTCCCACTTTACTCATCTCCTTCTATAATGCTTTCCAGTAATGGAGAAACACTTAGGATTTTCATGCAACTAGTCTACATTAGATGTAAGAGAACTCTGGGTATTGCATTCTTTCTTCCCTAGGATTATACGACTATCTGTGTAACAGTGGAGAGGGCAGATGCCATTGGCATGAATGGTGGATGCATCAAATCCAGTGGCTTAGTTCTAGTCTTTTGGAATTCCCTATCCATTTCCACTCCCTCATTTCTAATCAAAGACAGGAGATCACTGAAAGCCAGGAAACTGTTGGCATGGAGATGAGCTGTAGTTTGAAGCTCAGAAAGCATGGTTTACTCCAGAGTAGACATGCAGCAAACAGAGCTAGCTTTGTATGCCTGCTGGGAAACTGTTCAAATTGGTATGACAATAATCTGCTTCTTTGTCCAATTTGTTTCCAAAATACCCCTCAAGGTAAAATTCAGCCTCCTAGGTTTAAAGGCCATTCATTCTTGCATCGCACCAGCAAACCTTGTCACTCAGGCTTGGAGTTGTCCACAACAGAATCATTATACTCACTTCTATTGATTACTAAGTTTATATTGCCAATATTTTCAGCTTTGAAACAGGTCCAGCTAAGAAAATACTTTCTAAAGTAGGAAAGACATACCATCGTGTCTGCATCCATGAACACACACTTTGAATACTCTGTTAATTCCCAGCAGTGGAGTTTTGTCAGTGTAACACCAAGCTCAGGCCTTTTCAACAGCGCAAGATGGGCTGAATCTCCACTGTCCAAGACGTCTACGGGCTTCACTTGATCAAATATTTTTTCCAGTACTTTCCTATTGAAAGAAATGCCTCAAGTTACCATCAGTGATCAGCACCACAGCTCTCAATCAATCATTTGGGGAAATCACATTCCTATATAGTACTAGGTTTCTGGGAGAGTAAGCCCTTTGGAATTTCTTTGAAATGTGCATGGCAGCAGTTGCCTTATTCCTGTAGCATGTTTCTAACTTAAGAGTGCAAGAGCACAGACTTTAGATAAAGCTCTTGAAAGGTGGTGGATTATTCGCACTGAAGGGCTGTCAAAGTACATACAGGAGATGCTTACACCCACACAAACATATGGGTCAGAAAGACCTAGGGACACTCTTGATAAGTCATCTGGCTATTTTAAGATGCAACAGCCAAGAAAGAAGGCGTTTTCAGAGACTGTGCAATGAATTCTGAGCAGCAGCTGAGGTGTTCTTCCAGCTGGTTACAGAACTGATTATGTTTACAAATGAAGCTCATGCATCACTTCTTCTCCACTGTTACTCCTGTTACACCTTATGTCTTAAATAAAAGCACCAAAATGTTAGCATTTGCTTGAAATTTGCATGTTTCTTTCTATCCACTTTGGATTATATGCCATTTTGGCCAGCAACGCATATAACGTGTATCGCAATCATTAAAGCAATTGCTATTTATGAAACAATGCACAAGGCAAAATCTTAGCCAGTTTTAGTTTTGTTTAAGAGAGAAAAGCGGAGTGTAAACAATGATGATAATAATCTTATAAATAGGGGTGAGCAGAGTTGCAGGTATTTGGTATCTCCCTCCTTTATACAAGAACCTCACAATTCATCAGCTGGAGCCTGCTGTAAAAGGCTTGCACTTCAAAAGAAAAAATTCCAAGCTGAAGAATTTGTTTTGAATAGCAGAGCTCATGGATCTTTCATATAAAAATCCACAACAAGTTACCCAAGCTTTATTCATTTCAGTCAGCAACTAAGGGTAAGAGTGGGATTCATTTTGTAGGTATAGTACCTAAGCGATTGAGAGTTGGCCATTTCCTATCACCCAACGATCTATCAGTCAGTACGGATACTAGCACCTACCTATCCCTGTATCAGAAACAATATCATTATTTAACATAGTTACTTTTCTTGCATGCATTTTCTAGAAGGAAAAAAAAAGAGTCACGGTAACATAACTCCAGTGTGGTGTAGGAGTTTGAGAACTGGATTATGATTTGGGAGGAGAGTTTGAATCCCTTTCAATTAAACTATATACAAATTGAAATGATGCATAATATAAACAGTAACTTTCACAAGAAAACAACCAGCTGGTCTAAAATCAGCGATTTTTAAAAAATCAATCATATCAAATGCCTGGGAACAGAAAAAAGTTTAACCTACCTGCAAAGTGATAACATTGGAGCCTGGGTTGTGGAACGGCTTTAGATTTTTAAAAGCAAGACTAGATGTACAAGTGTAAATGAGAGAGCATATTATGTAACATAAAGAAAAAATGAAAGGCTATGAAAATAGTATTTGGGGATGATGACTATACAGGACCCTAAAAAGGGAAGACTCCTTTCTGAGCAAAAATGTCTAACATTTATATCAATCTGTAATTTCAACAATGCCTTTGTAAAACTCTGAAAGCTGAGGGAACCAGCTCTACTCATTAAAACATCTCTTAAAATTCAGAGCTCCTGAAAAATGTATTATTGCAGCAGCAACACATTTTAAGGAAGCTTCTCGTGTTACTTTCATGTCGTGACATCCACTGCAGCACTGCTGTTCTCATTAAAAAATTAGGTTCAAAGGTTCTTAAACATAGAAGAGACCACACTGTTGGTCACTTTTCAACATACCCCATGTATATAGTATTACTCCATATTCTAGGAAGGCGAATGCTGTGGGAGTCCTAAATGTCTATAATATTAATGCCTGAAACCTCAGCCTAATTTTTAACTTTGTGGCCCATGCTTGAACTGAAGATAATGTGATTAGAGATAATGCAGGGGAAGGAAGAGTGACTAGACAAGTCCTATAAATGCAGACGTAATTTTAAGCTCAGGCGGGTATACAGAAAGAGCTTTCATGCACAGCAGCCATGCACCTGGTGTCTCAGTTATGCAGGGTGTACAGCTGCAATGGCATGCAGCTTTAACGCACTAGATAAGAAAATCCAGTTTGAACAAGACACCCTCTAAATCCACTGTTGTGCAGTTAATATCTTATGTGTATGACACACAACTTAAAACTCAAGCTGCAGTCTTACAAAAGAAAACTGTGATTAATTAAACATACCGGTATGCATGATTTCTTTAAACATTTTAGCTCTCTATATGCATTTCTGATTGTTTCCCCTAACAGAATGAGCAGCATTTTATTAATCATATAACTTCTATTTTACACTGTACTTAAGAATAATCACTTGGGCCTTCATACAACAATATTTTTTTACATGCTTTCCCATCTGAAACATGGAATGATTACAACTGAAATATATCTAAGGTGTGATCAGATGCACCATACCTATATTCCAAGCCCTGTTTGTTCTTTATTGCGGCTATACTATTCAGTGCTAGACATCATAAGCTTACCTCATTGGGTCTGAAACATGTGGTGTGATCAGCACTGTCAACTTCCTTGTTGTTCTGTACTTTCGTAGTGACGATCCCAGTACAAGTGCTCCTTTCACATAGGAATCATTTGTGGCTAACGTCACAAAAGACTGGTCTTAAAGAGAAAAAACACAAAAGTTATGTTAGTAGCTATGTAATGGCAAAATTAGGGAAAATGTTATCAGTAGTCCAACACCTAAAATCCAGACCTTGGATATACAACCTTTTGGATCCCAGATTGTGGAAACTGTAGCCTTTAAAGCAGTGTTTCTCAAACTCTGTTCCTCCAGATGTTTTGGACTTCAGCTCCCACAATTCCTAACAGCTGGTAAACTGGCTGGTATTTCTGGGAGCTGAAGTCCAAAACACCTGGAAGAGCAGAGTTTGAGAAACAGTGCTCTAAAACAATGTTTCCCAGCCCTTTGCTTACTGTGGCAATTGTTTTCGTAAATCAAAATCTATTTTTCAGGCTAAACAATTTCCCCCTTTCTGAAAGCATTATATATCTGAAAACAGTATCTGTGGTTTCATTTATACATTTGACAAAATAAGTATTCTTGAGGAATTATCTAGGCACTCCAGTATGACTCTGCAGTATTCCTTGATCAGAAGTACTTCATTTCAATAGGGTTCCCTATGATCCACAGTTTTATGTATTCACAGAAACTGCAAGAACTCGTGGATATGGAGGTCATGCTCTTTTCCATTACTTGAAAGTAACAGAAGAGGGTAATTACCCTCAAATCTTGATTATGAGCTTTCCAGAAGTGTCTGATTGGTCACTGTCATAATACGATCAATCCTAGTTTGCTGCACCAATAAGATTTTAACCTTGTTCAACATGTATAACACAAGATGTTTCCATTCCAGCAGTTTACACTCATTTTCAAGATGCATAAAGTTCCCAGTATGCAATTTACACAGTGAGCAGAAACTTATTCTAATTCACAAAGGGTTAGATCACATCTGCTTTACCTGGTGCACTTTAAAATTACTGGTTTTTTTTAGTGAAGTATATCAAATTGGCGAGATCTCTAGCAAACAAGTCTAAAGTATTTGCTTTCTAACTTGCAGAATGATAACTTGAGTCTTCGACAATACAAGATAACTTGAGTGCTTGGGATGGGCTACATTTCCTATTGTGTGTGATATTTTATTATAAATTTTAAAAATAGGCATTAGGCATTAAGTATGGTCGTGTCAAGCACAGCATCTCTACTTTTCAAGTTGCAATTTTACGGGAGTGTATAGTATCTTGGTAGTTTCACGTCAGCAATAGTTCAAATGTTCCCATCAGCTTTAACAGGCCAGTATCCGATATTCTATAATGCTATTCACTTATTGAAATTATTCTAGAATTCTAGCAGCTTTTAGTTATAAACTCTTATTGATATGATCAATTCCTACTAACATCTGTAAAGTGTTGTGCAAAAGTTTCAGATATTTATATTTATCAATTACAAAATATCCTATGATTTATACCTGGGTTGTTTTTCATGTTCAGTAACTTTCTGCTACTTAAGTGTGTGGAATGAAACTCTCATTATACAAATTCAGCCATCCCTAAATCTCTGAGCTGGTACAAGACACAAGCTTAAAAGCATGGTGGAGTCTAGGAATAATCCCTTACAATTAATGTTCTAAAGCTATAGGGCAGTGTTCTCAACCTGAGTGTAGGGACCTCTGGGAGGTCATGAGGAAGTGTCAGAGGAGTTGCCAAAGACCATCAGAAAACATAGCATTTTCTGATGGTCATGGGGGGTTCTTTGTGGGAAGTCTGACCCAATTCTATCTTTGGTGGGATTCAGAATGTTCTGTGATTGTAGGTGAACTATAAATCCCAGAAATTACAACTCCCAAATGTCAAGTCTATTTTCCTCCCAATTCCACCAGTGTTCACAATTGGGCACATTGAGTCTTTGTGCCAAGTTTGGTCCAGATCCATCACTGTTTGACCCCAGAGTGCTCTCTGGATGTAGGTGAACTACAACTCCAAAACTCAAGGTCAATGCCCACCAAACCCTTCCAGTATTTTCTGTTGGTCATGGGAGTTCTGTGTACCATTCCATCATTAGTGGAGTTCAGAATGCTCTTTGATTGTAGGTTAACTATAAATCCCAGCAACTAAAACTCCCAAATGACAAAATCAACCTCCCCCCCCCAACAGTATTCAAATTTGGGTGTATCGTTATTTGTGACAAATTTGGTTGAATAAATGAAAATACATCCTGCATATCAGATATTTATACTTCACAACAGCAGCAAAATTAGTTATGAAGAAGTAACGAAAATAATTTTATGGTTGGGGGTCACCACAACATGAGGAACTGTAATAAGGGGTTGCAGCATTAGGAAGGTTGAGAAACACTGCTATAGGGTCACTTCAATGATAGTCAACTTGATATTCTAGTTGACTGTTGACTATGACTGGAGAACAGAGTCTGAATCCCTTTTTTAAAAATCTTCAAAATACACAGCCTTGAAAATATGAAGTTTGTGGAATAATAACATGTATACAATCATGCTATGATATACATTCAAGTCTGCCTGCAATTACATTACAGTTATATCTTTACTTTGAGCTTATCTGACTTCACAGCTACTAAAGCATAATACTGTTTGGCAGAAAAGGAAACCACAATATTATTAGGAAAGCTATGTAGCAACTCAGATTTTGCAAGTTACTAGCATGTGCACTGAACTCAGAGAATTATTTTTATGAATTTTCTTGAACATCCGATACTTGTTGCGTAAGCAAATGAGAACAATGTTACTGCTTTTAATCTGACATATTTCATTTACTTCATTGAAAACAGACTGATACAGTCTGGAAGTATTTTAGAGCTCAAAAATCTATAAATAAGAATGTATCATTAGAGCAAAGCTTTCAAGCTACTTCTATATTTGCCATCACAAAGGTAGATCCCATGTTAATCCCGCTGATATATCTTCATGTACAAAAAAAATAAGCTAATGTCCTTGCAAATATTAGAGAATGAATGTTTTAGTCTTAGCTAGACTCAAATTACAGAACACAATCTTGTCCAAAGTAGAGTCTTCTGCCAGTGTAACTGCTGGCACTTGGCCAGAGGGATCTTCAATACACTCTAATGGATTGACATTGGATAAACCTCAAATAAAGATTAAATTATCAGGAAATACAACACATTTATAAATGTAATTTTGCAAGTGACCCAACAGTTTTGAAACAGGGCCTGGATTGATCTCCAAGGTGTAAAAATTCTAACTAAAACAAATGATGGCTTGAATATACTCATGCCACTATATGTGAAATATGAATTCCCCTATAAGAGAAACATTTCTTGGTAGATAGTTGGGATACAAATAAAATTAAACAATAAGGTACTTTGAATAATTGTCCCAGTTTCGATATGCATTACAGGACCAATTACATGACTGCAGATTTTAGAAGACTACTTTCAGATTGATAACCACTCTTTACACCTGGTCTGCAAAACCTGTGGCCCTCCAGATGTTTGGGTCTCCAACTCCTCGAAGCCCTGCCCAGCTGTTCCAATACTCAGTAATTCTGGGAGCTGAAATCCAAAACACCTGGAGGGTCACAGGTTGTGCAGGCCTCTGCTTCACGCCATGATTTCAGCAAAATCTATTTCAAATGTTAAGACAGACCATCCTATTGCCTGTGTCCTGCATTTGTAGGTATAAGAACAAGCTACTTGAGAAACAATGCCATATTTTGCTTGCCAGTACTATGCAGATGCAAAATCGGGAGCCAATATATGATACCTTCCTGAAGTGTCTCAGGCATTAGAATACTGGAGCCATTCATATATATAACCTGTATATACTCTAGTGTAATGTACCATGGAATCTAATCTGCACCTCAATTTTCAAAACTCTGAAACCAAAAAAGTATTTGCTGGCAAATACAATGTGCACTCTTTGCAATTTGACTCTTTGCAATTTGACAAAAAAGGTACGCATTACAGTTGCTGCATGATTACAATTCATCCTTTAAGAGAAGAAATGTTAGAACACCAAAGCTTTCAGCCATGGAAAATAAAACCTTAGGTGCTGTAGAAGAAATCTACTGCCTTGGTTCAATGCTATGAGATCATGCTGATGCCTCACCAAACTACAAATCCCTGGAGGGCATAGCATTGAGATATGGCCATTAAATTAGAGATGACATCCCTCAAATAGGAGCTCCAAGTGCTCCTGAAGCAGCTCAACCTTTGCTTTGATTCAGCACTAAGATTACTATATTACACAAATCTAATGCACTCTCTAATTTTGGGGAGGTAATTTAGCCAAAAAGGTGAGCACTAGATTTGAGTAAATATGATATCTACAGTGGAATTACTCCATTAGGTGAAAGTGGAGTAATCTTGTGGTGAGATTACTTAAAATACAGAACACCCTGCCTTGACCATGCCCTTTCTCTAAGTGACCACACCTTGCTTGTATAAATATTTCATGAATGAAAGTATTTTTGACTCAAGCCAAGTGATTTCACTTGAGTCAAAAACATGAAAAGTCATGTCAAGTATATTTTCTGTCAACACAAATCAGACAAGAGTTCACCTGGCTTACTTTTTTCATCATTTGTCACTTTGAAACTCACAGTTAAACTCTAAACCTACTCGACCAGTTACAGTACAAAGTAAAACCTGAGAGTAAGATATAGTGCTACTCCATGCTGACTCTTTGTTATTCCTTGGGGCAACCTAATCAAAGTCATGAATTTTAGATGTAGCCATTCTTCCTGCAAATGAACAAGTGGTAATAAGAAGCTGGCAGGACGAGGGGCAGTTGTGCTCTTATCAGTCTAATATCAATAAGTTTAAAGAAAGAGAGGAATAGAGAAATGAGTGCTTAAAATTCTTGAATATTAAAAGAGCCTAGGCATTAAATTGCTTACTGTCAAGGAAAACAAAGCCTTCTTTGAGTCTAGTCCATATTCCTTGTTGTAGGAAATCTCAGTGGACATAATATGGAATTACTTACATTTTAGTGTTTTTCTATGTCAGTTAAAGCAACACTCAGTTGATGTATTTCACCAAAGTGAGAGGCTAGGTGTGCAAAATCATATTTAGTATAAATAAAGTAGCTGTTCTAATATTAGTAATCCAG